ATGGTCTTGCAGCTTCTTCAAGGAAGGCTCGTCCGCTTCTTCGACGGAGATGAGGCCGAGAACGCGGATCCGCTGTTAGACGTCGTGCACCAGTACCCAGAGGCTGGCGTCGAATCGGTCGCTCTCTTTTCTTTTTTCCCCGGCAGGTTTGGGCCTGCAAAGTTGGTTTGGAGAACCGCATCCTGGTACCCTTAGGGAAACCAAAAGGAGAAGGGTTTATGATCCATGAGGAACAATGGTGGCTTGAACATGTTTGGATCAAAGGTTCCAGAGTTGTACCCAGGCCATACCCCTCCGCAAATAAGTTCTGAGCGATTAGGCTTGCAGAAGGGCTATTATGCAGGGCAACGGCCTGAACGACTTTTCCAGGCAGCATATTCAAACCGCGAATTCGGGCGGCCTGCACCTAGGTGAAAGCCACTTGCCCCGGGAGCAGGCAGCAAGGCCCTTGCAACATTTGGTTCCATGTCATTTGTCCCTTCCCTCGCCATCGGTTAACCCTTGATTTGTGGCTCGCCAAGGATCACAGATTCTTGAACCCAAGAGCTCCTTTTCAGGGAACCTGCTCGCCATTCCGGGCACCTCAGCCGGCCACCGCAGGAAGCCGCCTGGTTCATCAAGGTGGTCGCACAGCTCCAGTGGCACTCCTTTTCCTCGTGCGTTTGCGTCGAATGGGATGGTCGGTCCCATGAAGCAGGCAGGTCTCATAGCTTTGAAAATTTGCTCATTTGCTCTGGGACAAATGAACCAATACATTCAAGCGGGCCGCCCTGTGCTTCCCATGGAGACTTGGAGCCAACTTCCAATGTTCCGACGGCTCAAAGCTCCAACGATACTTGGGCCAATTATGACGAGCTGAGCTATGCCGAGCTTTCCCATGATGAAGGTTCTTGGGGATTCCTCATTTCTAATTTGTGAGTCATGAAAATTTGCCCAGTTCAAACTTGAACGTGTCCAATAGGACTCGGCCACTTGCAGAGCTTGCAGGGGGTTTTGGGCCCCTGCAAACGCTGATTAGTGGGTGGAAATCGTATTTCCAAGGTTACGGTGAAGGGGACACCAAACTGGGACCACTTCCAAGGATGTTCCGTGCTTTGGTGGGGACCAAAACCTGTTCCAAAAGGACTTAGGGCCACTTAAATCCATTAAAAGGCGTTTCCTTTTTTTTGTGAGGACACAAGATATCCTCTTCTTTTTTTTGGCGGGGGGGGGAGTGGGGGGGACGAGCTCGAACCATCTTAGGTCATGTTCTTCGGCTCGATCTCGGGCCTGGTGATCTCCATTCCTTGCTCCATCTTTCTAGCCATGTTCTGGACCCCTTGCGGGCTCTGCAACCGGCCCTTGCGCTACTGGCGCCTCGGGTTTCGGTTTCGGATCGGAGCGGCTATCGATCATGGCGGGGATTCGAGTCGGGCCAAGCCGGTGGGTCAAGATGTTGTTTTTCTTGTTTTGTTTCCGGTGGATTTGCCTGAGAGGAAAGTTAGGTGGAGTCTATGTGCCACGCAATTTCTTCTTTGCCCAAGGGGAAACTACCCTTTCCTCTCATAGCACCTGTGGGAGCGAGAGGAAGAAACCCGCTAGCCGCCATGCGACTGGGGTATTTTTCCGGCCGCATGCTGCAGCGAATGCTGCTTGCTGCTTAGAAGATGAATCCTTTGATGCACCTGACTGGGCAGATTGCACCGAGCTCGCGGAAGGATTTCCCAGGTTTCAAAAGGGATGGATCTCAGCCCAAACTTGAGCAGCCCCATGGATTTGAGCCAGCCCTCTCGAGATCTAGCAGACCCCCCAAGTGGGGAGCCCCAGCCTTAAAACACAACTCTCCCCACTTGAGCCACAATCAAAACCCGGGTAAGTGAAGGTTAGTAAGGGGCGGTCCCAGCCAGAAATAGCTGCGGATATCCGCCTTCTTGAAGCATGGTTTTGATTATGACTCACTTGGGTTTCACCCATCGCCCAACGCGGCCGAAACCACCGGAGATCCTCCGAGGATCCTGGTGCACTGCGCCTTGCAGCTGCTCCAGGCGCGGCGATGGCGACGGTGTTGATGATTGTTTTTCTCCCATGGCCGTGGTTGTCAAAACCAATGGGATCCCATTTTGGGGTTTTCGGTGCTGTTTGAGTGGGGATTGGGATGTTCACTGGGGGTAATTACGGGATTTTGACCCATGGCCACACCCTATCATCGAATGGAATCCCAGCTTGCTACAAGTAGCAACCTAACAACCTCCTTAGAGTCTTGATGCTGTGGATGGACGAAATCCATGTTGCACCAAATCGAAACCATGGTTGAATCCAGTTTGCGTGTTGGCATTTACGTAAATAGGGGTTTCTGACAGGCGGTGCGACATGGATTTCGTCCATCCGTAGTAAGGCGTGTCAGTTTTTCCGGGAGTATCTGTTTTTTGGTTTTGCCAAAGAAAACCAAAAGGAAAACCATAGCTAATCTTAGGGCGTCCAAGGCAAGCAAGGCAAGCAAGCAACAGGCACTGATTGTGGACGTTGACAGGGGCCAATCGAGCCCACAACCTTGCCAGTGCAGAAATGCTGCTGCTAAACCTCCTAAATCTGGTCCCGAGCCGCAGCTTAGGACAGCTCCAGAGATTTGAAAGCAAAAGGAAACCAACCAGCTTAAATTTGGCGGGCCCCAATGTGTGGCCCCCTTTTGGTTGCTTCGAGTGGCTTGGCTCGCTTGCCTTGCTTGCCTTGCTTGCCTTGCTTGCCTTGCTTTGCTTGCTTTGCTTGCTTGCTTTGCCTTGCTTGATCTTGCTTGCCTTGCCCTGCTTGCCTTGCCTTGCTTTTTGCTTGCCTTGCTTGCCTTGCCCTGCTTGCCTTGCCTTGCTTTTTGCTTGCCTTGCTTGCCTTGCCCTGCTTGCCTTGCCTTGCAGTTTGCTTGCCTTGCTTGCCTTGATTGCTTTGCTTGCCTTGCTTGCCTTGCTTGCTTTGCTTGCCTTGCTTGCCTTGCCTTGCTTTGCCTGCCTTGCCTGCCTTGCCTTGCTTTGCTTGCCTTGCGCTTGGCTCGCTTGCCTTGCTTGCCTTGCTTGGCTCGCTTGCCTTGCTTGCCTTGCCTTGCCTTGCCCTTGCCTTGCCTTGCCCTTGCCTTGCCTTGCCCTTGCCTTGCCTTGCCTTGCCTTGCCCTGCTTGCTTTCGTTCCCGCTTCGCTCAAGTACCAACCACAAGGGGTCAATCACAATGCGGGGTAGTTCGTGAGTTTCGATTCCACCGATTCGGGGGTTAAACGCGCAAAGGCTAGGATGTAGATCCTTGGGGGTCCAATCCTTATTCCAGGTTTTGGGTTCGTGGTAGAGTTTCCTCAACATGTTTTTTTGTGACAGGGGGTTCGCAGCAACTATTTTGATTTAGAGGGGTTCTTGACATTACTTCCTTTTTGGGGCATTGCACAGGGACTCAAAAAGCGAGGAGGTTTTTTGTTGTTCCCCCAGCGTTTTTTCAAGGAGGGAGTCAAACCCCGCTCGGAGAACTGGACGATGCGTCCTTGTGGCCCACTGGGCTTTGTTTTGACCCACGGAGTCGAAAAGGCAACCCCGACCTTTGCAGTGCATGGTTGGAGGGGGGGATATGCTGAATCATGGCCAAGTGTGAAACCCCCCGCCTTGGCGGTCACAAGGCAACCCCAGACAATTAGTTTTTGCAGCTATGAGTCAAGGATTTTTGAAGGAAGGCACGGGTCCTGCGGATTCTTGTTGGTTCTTGATATCCTCGTGCACAGCAATATTCGTCCCAATGATCGCTTCATACAAATTAGCTACGGGTGCAGAACGGCAATTAATCACTGCCTAGGTACGGCACCGACTTCAAAGCTTTGGTTGCCAGGTTTCGTCATCACAGTCTCGGGCAAGCAGGCTCTTAAGGTTTTTGTATCAGGTTCGGTCAGAGAAATTGCGCCAAGGGACGAGCAGGGCGAGCTAAGGGATCAACTCATGTTCCGGTGTTTTCTTGGGCTCATAGGCTCGAGGAGTCGGAGGTATTTCTACACGCAGGATCTGGCTTTTGAACTCCGTGTGTTTCAAGTCTGCGTCTATCTGGGCGCCGCATGGCCGAGATGCTTTTAGTTCCGTAGATCTCCGTTTTTGTGTCGTGTAGCACAGGTGACATGAAGGGCAGGGGCCAGAAGTACAACCGTTGACCTCCAAAGCGCACCTCGCTTCCTGAGTTCCTGGACTGAAGTCACTTTTTTGGGAAGACCATTTTAGTGGCAAATGAAAAGTTCAGTGTTCGGTTTGTTTTTTTTGCCAATCCTCTCCCTCGGAAGTGAGACAGCCATTTGGCGGGCAATTTTTTGGATGTCTTACTTACCTGGCCCCAGTTGGCACCAAATCCGAAGCCGGAAGCCGGAATCGCCAGGCTCCCGTGCGCCTGGTGTTTTTCTTGCGGCTTTGCCACGTCCAGCGAATCAACGGGAACATCCAGGCGCAATGGTTGGGAACCTGGGGGGGATGGGCTCTCTGAGGGGGACACCCCTCCCAAAATGATTTGGAGCTTGTTTTCCGTAGGACTAACAAGAGTCCGCTCGGAACAGGACACACCTCAAAGATGTGCCCCAAGAAGTTGGAACCATTTGAAGCCTCGGTTGGCTCAGGCAGCTTCCAACCAAAATGACCGTCCCCAGGTAGCCCCTCCCGGTCAGGTTCGTTTGGAAGACCGACTCTGAAGAGTGTCGAAAGGGAGAATATGGTGTCGTTGCAACTTCGGTATTTTTGCGCTTGCCCAATGTCCATATCCAGAAACAAAGCCCTCGCAAATCAAAACCAAAAGGACAAACACATGTCGGGGTCCCCCCGGTTTCTCACTCCTGAATACCTGGCCTTGATACTTTTCCGGCAGACCATGTTGGTGGCACACAAGAAGTTGGACATTTTTTGGCCAATCCACTCAGGAAGTGAGTTTTTGACACGCAGGTGTCTTTCTTGAGGGTGCCCCGGTTTTCGGTGGTTCAAGGACAATAGAATGAACGTGGGAATTCCCCTTAAAAAACAAGGAAGACGTAGGGGATGGTTTATAAGGACCATTCCATGTCTCGTTTCCGTGTAGATACCCCCCCACCCAGATCTCGGTTTGTCGCAGGAGTGTGTGCGACAGCTGACTCACAGCTCGGCCTGGCGGACCAGCAAGGTTGTGTCCATCGTGACCTACGGATGGTTCATCCTGGGTGCCCCGGCGGGTTGAAAAGCCGAATGGAAAGCCGGTTCAGCCACTTTTGGGGTTCTAGTTTGATACCAGGGAGGGCTTTGGGGCAGATTTGTAGGTGTCCTTTCAGGTCACGGGTCGTTTTCAAAATCCGGTGTGTTTGTTTTTTTAGTGTGGGAGTTCACCTTCTTGCGGGGCTTCTTGAGAAGGTTTCAAATTTCGGAAGCTGCGCGGAAATTCGTTGCTACAATTGTACACATGATCAAATGCAGGGCTTTTACAATTGTTTATTGTCTGCCGCCGCCCGGCAGAAGCTTTCGTTTAGCTGCGTGGGCCGACGAGGGGTGATTTGTTCGAGGAGGTGTGGTAGAAGATGGTAGAAGAAAGATGTTACCTAGCCGCTGCTGAGCATTTCGAGCAGATCATTTGCAGAAAGCAGAGTAGGCAGGACAATGTGTTTTGTCGCGGTAATGCCGCAGAAGCCTGAAAGTAGAATGCCCCAGAAGATTGACATTTAGAACTACCCTCGGGACACAGTCGGAGTCCATTGGCTTGAATAGCTGATTACAGGTGACCACTTAGCTCAGTTTGATTGAGCAAATAGATGGATTTCAATGGGTATCACTTTGGTTCTAGCCTGATTTCAGTGGAATCTGTCTATTTTCCCAGGACGCCTGCCAGAATAACCGGGACGGAGCCACATGATTCAACCTTTGCATTGCGCAGATTTTGCGAGACGACCAACCATGCATCGGTGAAGTGAAGGGGACCCCTGGTCCCAACTTGCAATGGGCAATCCCCAGTCGTTTTGGGTCCGGCCCTGGTTGATGTTTCGGGAATTTGGCTTCTGTTTGTTTTCATTCCCGCGAAAAATCTGGGCTCCGCTCGTTGCATCCCTACATGATGTCCGTTTAGGTCTGACCGTTTAGGTCCGCTGGTTTCAGTTTGGTTCAGTTTCCTTGCCAGTGGAATCCATGTTTTTTGGAAAGGCGACCTGAGTTGTGGGCGAGATTTGGTGGCTTGGGGCAACGCTCCAAAACCAATCCTAAACAAGACCAAAACTCATGTAACCACATCCCAAAAGCAACCATAAAGGCACTGCTTAAGCCAGCAGCACACCCAACACACATCAGCTCCACACATGGTACCCAGACAGTACCTAAACCCCCCCAGTATAGGTATAGGTATAGGACAAGTATATCTGGGCAGTGCAGCAGTACCTAAACCCCCTTAGTATAGGTATAGGTATAAGACAAGTGTATCTGGGCAGCTACCTAAACCCCCCTCAGTACAGGGACAGGTAAAGGACAAGTGTATTTGGGCAGTGTAGGCAGTACCTAAACCCCCCCAGTATAGGTATAGGTATAGGACAAGTGTATTTGGGCAGTGTCGGCAGTCCCAGTACCGGTATAGGTATAGGACAAGTGTATCACGCGGGCACGTAAGCAAGAGCGCCCCTTCCAGGTACACCCTCACGCCCCCACACACATAAGACCCCGCATCTAAACCCCCCCGAGTATGAGGGCCTTGGAACCCAGACAGTACCTAAACCCCCCCCAGTATAGGTACAGGTGTAGGACAGGTGTGTCTGGAGGAGCAGTGTCGGCAGCACTTTTTCCACCCAGTCTAGGTACAGGTTTTGGACAGGTGTATCAGTACCCAAACCACCCCAGTATAGGTACAGGCATAGGTATAGGTATACGTACAGGTCTGTAAAAAGTACCTATACCTTCCAGGTACACCCTCACGCCATATAAGACCCCACATGTAAACCTTCCCAGTAGAAGGGGCTTGGAACCCAGACAGTACCTAAACAGGGGCAGGTTTAGGACAGGTGTATCGGCAGTCCCAGTACAGGTATAGGTATAGGACAAGTGTATCACGCGGGCACGTAAGCAAGAGCGCCCCTTCCAGGTACACCCTCACGCCCCCACACACATAAGACCCCGCATCCGCCCGAGTATGAGGGCCTTGGAACCCAGACAGTACCTAAACCCCCCCAGTATAGGTACAGGTGTGGGACAGGTGTGTCTGGAGGAGCAGTGTCGGCAGCACTTTTTCCACACCCAGTCTAGGTACAGGTTTTGGACAGGTGTATCTGGGCAGCGCAGTACCTAAACCACCCCAGTATAGGTACAGGTATAGGTGTAGGTTTACGTACAGGTCTTTTCAAAGTACGTATACCTTACCCTCACGCCATATAAGACCCCACATCTACACCTTTGCAGTATTTGGAACCCAGACAATACCTGTCTACTACTTGTACCGTACCCCCGCTAGTCGTGCGCTTGGGGGGGGTCTGAGCACAGGTGCGGGTATAAGTGTCTCGCTGGCCGTGTACTTGTACCTATACCTATACCTATACCTCTCCACCCCTTGCAGTGCCTGCGCGCGTACCTGTACCTCTACTTATACCCGGGGGGTATGAGTACAGGTACATGTACAAGTACTTTTGCTGGTCATGTACTTGTACCTTTACCTATATACCTATACCTCTCCACCCCTTGCAGCGCTCGAACTCTTCTCCTCGCGCCTGTACCTGTACCTGTACCTGTACTTAAACCCTGGGGGTACCTGTACAAGTACCTGTCTGGTCGTGTACTTGTACCTGTACCTATACCTCTCCACCCTTTTTCGGGTTTTTGTGCTTGCGCCTGTACCTGCCCATACTTACACGGTCAAGCGCCGGGTAAAAGTATAGGTACTGGTACAGGTACAGGCGCAAGCACAAAAGTTCAAGGGCGTAAGCTTGCACTTCTACAAAATACCCACACAGGTTTGAGTCTTCGTACCTGTCCGGATACGTTTACCGGTAAGTACCTGGCTGGTCGTGTACCTGTACCTGTTGTCTTATACCTATACCTGGGTTCAGGTACTGCTGCGCTGCCCAGATATACTTGTCCTTTACCTATACCTATACCTGTACTCATACCCCCGAGGTTTCAGTATAGGTACACAGGTACAGGTACAAGCGCAAGCACAGGAGTTCGAGGGCTGCAAGGGGTGGAGAGGTATAGGTATAGGTACAAGTACATGACCAGCTAAGGTACTTGTACAGGTACCTGTATTCATACTAGGTACAGGTACGCGCGAGCGCAAGAGCGTGAGGGGTGCAAGGGGTGGAGGTATAGGTATAGGTATAGGTACAAGTACACGACGAGCAAGACACTTGTATCCGCACCTGTACTCAGACCTGTATAACAGGTACAGATACAGGCGCAAGCATAAGAGCCTGGGCTGCAAGGGGTGGAGAGGCACAGGTAGTGTATCTGGGCAGCTACCTAAACCCCCCTCAGTATAGGGACAGGTAAAGGACAAGTGTATTTGGGCAGTGTAGGCAGTACCTAAACCCCCCCAGTATCGGTATAGGTATAGGACAAGTGTATCTGGGCAGTGTCGGCAGTCCCAGCACAGGTATAGGTATAGGACAAGTGTATCACGCGGGCACGTAAGCAAGAGCGCCCCTTCCAGGTACACCCTCACGCCCCCACACACATAAGACCCCGCATCTCAACCCCCCCGAGTATGAGGGCCTTGGAACCCAGACAGTACCTAAACCCCCGCAGTATAGGTACAGGTGTAGGACAGGTGTGTCTGGAGGAGCAGTGTCGGCAGCACTTTTTCCACACCCAGTCTAGGTACAGGTTTTGGACAGGTGTATCTGGGCAGCGCAGTACCTAAACCACCCCAGTATAGGTACAGGCATAGGTATAGGTATACGTCTGTAAAAAGTACCTGTACTTTCCATACCCCACATGTAAACCAAACCAGACAGTACCTAAACCCCTGGGGCAATGTCGGCAGTCCCAGTACAGGTATAGGTATAGGACAAGTGTACCACGCGGGCACGTAAGCAAGAGGTACACCCTCACGCCCCCACACACATAAGACCCCGCATCCGCCCGAGTATGAGGGCCTTGGAACCCAGACAGTACCTAAACCCCCCCAGTATAGGTACAGGTGTAGGACAGGTGTGTCTGGAGGAGCAGTGTCGGCAGCACTTTTTCCACACCCAGTCTAGGTACAGGTTTTGGACAGGTGTATCTGGGCAGCGCAGTACCTAAACCACCCCAGTATAGGTACAGGCATAGGTATAGGTATACGTCTGTAAAAAGTACCTGTACCTTCCAAGTACCCCACATGTAAACCAAACCAGACAGTACCTAAACCCCCCAGTATAGGGGCAGGTTTAGGACAGGTGTATCTGGGGCAGTGTCGGCAGTCCCAGTACAGGTATAGGTATAGGACAAGTGTACCACGCGGGCACGTAAGCAAGAGCGCCCCTTCCAGGTACACCCTCACGCCCCCACACACATAAGACCCCGCATCCGCCCGAGTATGAGGGCCTTCGAACCCAGACAGTACCTAAACCCCCCCAGTATAGGTACAGGTGTAGGACAGGTGTCGGCAGCACTTTTTCCACACCCAGTCTAGGTACAGGTTTTGGACAGGTGTATCTGGGCAGCGCAGTACCTAAACCACCCCAGTATAGGTACAGGTATAGGTATAGGTTTACGTACAGGTCTTTTCAAAGTACGTATACCTTACCCTCACGCCATATAAGACCCCACATCTACACCTTTGCAGTATTTGGAACCCAGACAGTACCTGTCTACTACTTGTACCGTACCTATACCTACCCAGCACCTGCCCCGCTAGTCGTGCGCTTGGGGGGGGGTCTGAGCACAGGTGCGGGTATAAGTGTCTCGCTGGCCGTGTACTTGTACCTGTACCTATACCTATACCTCTCCACCCCTTGCAGTGCTTGCGCACGTACCTGTACCTCTACTTATACCCGGGGGGTATGAGTACAGGTACATGTACAAGTACTTTTGCTGGTCATGTACTTGTACCTTTACCTATATACCTATACCTCTCCACCCCTTGCAGCGCTCGAACTCTTCTCCTCGCGCCTGTACCTGTACCTGTACCTATACTTAAACCCTGGGGGTATGAGTACAGGTACATGTACAGGTACCCCCCCGGTATGGGTATAGGTACGTACCCACCCCCCCGGGGTACTAACTGCAGCTCCAAGCCAACCCAAATCCACCCAAAGTCAACCCTAAACCCGCCCAACAGCAGCCTGGATGTCAGCCCCAAAATCAACCCCAAACTATCACAGCACCCAAGCCTAATGAAGATCTAAGCCAGCCTAAACCCTCCTTAACTTAAACCAGCCCCCAGCAACTCCAATCAGAGCCAATAGGCACCCCCCGGGTCAAGTGAGGCTGGTGATGCTGGGGATGTTGCCAGCCCTGCGGAAAACCAGCCCTAGGAAAAACCAGCCCTAGGAAAAATAATAACACCTCTACCAAACAAAGACGCGGGATTCAAATTCGTGGAAGTCGTCCAAGGGTTCGCTCGCTAGGCGTGGTGTGGCTGCTGAACTCGACCCACTGCAAGTCCTGCCCAGGCGCCGACCAGGGTAAGCCATTGGGCGTGTGCTTTGAGGCTCGGTATCCTTTTCAGGTTTGAGGGGGAAAGGACAGCCAACATGGCTGCGGGTCAAACAAATGGTACCATTTTGGAGTAGGTGAACCACCCATTTTAGTCTATCTTAGCTGGGTGTTTGCCCAGAACGGAACTCACGAAGAGCTGGAACAGCCGGTTTGCAGCCCAACAAACCAGTTCGTGCTGTTGGGGGTCCTGGGGGAGGTAAACAGCAGAATCTCCATTTCAGGTAGTCCCTTCCAGACATGGAACCTCAAAATCTCTTTTGGGAGGATGGCTCCAACTCAAACCGTTATGCATTGGCAGCCTCAAGCCCGCCTTTACCCTCCCTTAAGGGTATCCCGGTGGGTTTTAACATCTGGGGACTCCATAGCATACAAACAATCCAATGTGGGACCTCGTTGTTTCTTCCTTCCATCCGCCATTGGCATCATTTGGCATTCGTTCGATTCTGTATGGACCAGAGTTTTAAAACACATAAAATCAAGTCTCCTTTTTGGCTGGGTGCTGGTGGACCACCTCCCCTGGTTCCGCGTGGGATTTCTGTGACATGGGAACTCTCTTCAAGGTCAAAAGTCGTCACGGGAGAATCCACAACCGCTTTGGTGTAAGGGTTATTTCAACCACCACTCTCGTCCTGATTTGGACTAAAATAGAAGAAACAAAACACTTCTTGCGAAAGACCTTTTTGAGTGGCAACCGTAAAGTTAGGGATCCAGTGTTTTTGTTCCTTTTACATATGTATATATATATATATATTTATTTATTTATTTATTTGTTTATTAACCAGGCTCCCGCCTGCTGCCGCCGACCCTCGGCGCATTAAGGGAAAAGTCACAAGGACCGGTCCTGAAACACGTCCGCAAACCCAGGGACCACTTATAAGATCCTCTACGACCACAAACAAGGATTAACGGAAAAGTCAGAAATAGGGCAGCTAGTCCGTTAATTACCGCTTGGGCCGGCTTGCGCCCAAGTCACTTCGAGTTGGCCCGGGAGCAGTCGCCTCTCCCGGGGTCGCCCTGAAACTGGCCCTCCCGAAGTTGACCACAAACAAGGATTAACGGAAAAGTCAGAAATAGGGCAGCTAGTCCGTTAATTACCGCTTGGGCCGGCTTGCGCCCAAGTCACTTCGAGTTGGCCGGGAGCAGTCGCCTCTCCCGGGGTCGCCCTGAAACTGGCCCTCCCGAAGTTGCCCTGGACCGGTCGCCGGCAGGGACCGGGACTTGGGACCCTGTCTGGCGCGGTTTGACTTGACGTATGCAGGGAGGACCCTGTCCAGTGTCCTGGGTGCCAGTCCGGAAACGTGTCTGGAGCGGTTTGAGGTGGCAGCACAGCAGTTTGAATTGGGACCCAATACCAGCGGTCACACCAGGACTTGATCCCGGTCCCAGGACCAGTCCCAGACGGACCAGTCCCAGGACGGTCCTGGAACCAGTCCCAGGACTGGTCTGGTCCTGGACCAGTCCCAGGACCAAACCCCGGTCCTGGGACTGGTCCCAGGACCAGTCCTGGGACTGGTCCCAGGACCGGTCCCGGGACCGGTCCCAGGACCGGTTTTGGCTGACTACAAGTAATCTGAAACAGCAGAACCAGGGTCCCAGGACCAGTCCCAGGACCGGTCCCAGGACTGGTCCCAGGACTGGTCCCAGGACCGGTCCCGGGACCGGTCCCGGGACCGGTCCTGGGAATCCACTTTTTGTGGCTTCAGGCGTGTCCCCCAGGGACTATCATTGATTCCATCACTTCCAGTTGCATCCCACGCCGGTCCCCTCTGCAGGAGGCTGGGACGGGAGGCAGAGGGTTGGCGGATTTATTTCCTATAGGGCTGTTTTTGGTTTTCCTGGGGCTGGGTTGGTTGGTTGGCTTGCCACTCCACTCAGTGACACCATGGAGACCCCGGTCCCCCGGTCCCCCGGTCGGTCCCTGGCTCGCGTCGGGCGGGAGGCCTGTACCGGCTGTCGCTCGCGGTGATCTTCGCCGCGGTGGCGCGGCTGCTGATGACGCTCATCGCGCCTCGCTTTTGGACGAATCGGTCGGGGGAGGGGAGGCTCCGTCCGCGAAAAACAGGGGGGCAGGGGGAGGTACCAACATGGCCGTGGTGGTCAAAACCGTTTGGGGATCCCATTTTGGTTGGTAGGTGAATTAACCACCCGAATTTTAGAACCTTTAGTTGGGATTGGGATGTTGACTGGGGGTACGGGCTTTTGACCCATGGCCATTTGGGAAAAGAGAGTGCGTGGCTCAGGTTTGGGGGGATTAAATTGGTTGGCTTCTTTTTGGTTTCCCTTGAACAATTCAAAAAAAGAAAACGGGTCCCACTCCACTCCCCACTCCACTCCCCACTCCACTCTGCTCCCCACTTCGCTCCCCACCCCACTGCCACTCCGCTCCCCACTTCGCTCCCCACTTCGCTCCCCACTTCGCTCCCCACCCCACTCCACTCCGCTCCCCACTCCGATCTTCCGCTCTCCACTCCGCTTCCCACTCCGATCCCCACTCCGCTCTCCACTCCGCTTCCCACTTTGCTTCCCACTCCACTCTACTCCCCTCTCCACTCCCCTCTCCACTCCGTTCTCCACTCTCCCCAATGGTCCCCACTCCACTCCGTTCCTCGCCACTACACCCCACTCCACTCCGTTCCGCACTCCCCGTCGCGCTCCCCTCAAGCTCCAGCGGGGCCTTTGCGTTCTTGGGGGATCAAGCCTGCAGAACTCCACTGAAAGGGAGAGGAGTCCCCCCCAACAGCCCCCCGAAGTCCCAACCCAGGGAATCTCGTATGGATTCCGGTCAGAGCAATGAGTTAATTCATAACCACTAACAATGAAGCCAAACATGAATTAATAAATATCATATTCGTCTTTTTTTGAAGGAAGCTTCCTAGAAATCCCATGACTCCCTCGTGGCACGTACTCGAGGTCTTCTACCACTCCTTCCCGCCGCGGCTCCAGGGCCAGCAGCCTCCGAAGCCCAAGGGGGCCAACCAGGCGGGGGCTGAGCGGCCGAAGGGTTCGAAGAGGCGAAAGGGCCGTGGTCAAAACCGTTTTGGGATTTCCCGTTCGGGTCGCTTCGGGTCGCGAAATCAGGAGCTGATCGACTCCCTGCCGCTCATGGTCTACTCCCCGGAGCGCTCCACCGACCAGAGCTGCGCAGTGTGCCTCAGCGAGTTCGACAAGGACCCCCTGCGAGGGTTTGTGGGAACACTCCAGGGCTGGGGTCTCCTCCAAAAGAGTTTCAGACGTTAGGGTTCACTGTGAAACAGCTGACACTATGAGTTTCTGAGTACAGATGTGCATTAGCGGGAGGCTAGAGGGTTGGGGGGGGGAGGGAGGGAGGGGTTTGAACCCTCAATCTAACCCGTAATAATGGGCAAACTTCAAACAGGGCCCCATGATTTGACAATCGGGATCCGGCTGGTCAAGGTGATGTTGGAACTTGCACAGGATGTATCCTTTCACGATGAAGCGCTTTTGTTTACCCAACGAGTCAGTGATTGACCCTTGATTGGAGAGTGTATGCCGCTCATTTAGGCCATCTAGCATAATCCTTGCTTAGCCCCGGTATTGCCGTACCAGTTGGGTTTGTCTCAGAATAAAGTAATTAATCCCCCAAAATGATTGGCATTCTGTTGGTTTCTCTTTAGACTAAGGTGAAAAGGGTATGTTCAAGAAGAGGCACACCTTCATCAAATCATCTTTCCAGGGATGCTCCCCCACTTTAGGCAAACAAGGAAGCAGGGAAACACGGTTCATATCTGCGCATGTGATGATCCTTTCAGAGGCCTTATGTGATGATTTGTCCCCCTGAGCACCGTTTCTTGAGGATGGCCTCAGGTTATGCTGGGGAGTATCCCACTCTTAGGGAGGAACATGCCCACTGTCACTATGGTCTTCCAAACTCTAGTCTTTGTCCCTAGGGGTTGTGGGATTTGCTTTCTTTCAGACTGTGATACCAATGCAAGGCCTTCCAACTGGGTCTGCCCTTTTTGTTAAAGATATCCCTGTTGGAGTGGTTCCTCCTCACCAGTTTTTGGAAGAACCCCTAAAAAAGCGAGACATTTAAATCGCTAAGTCTCTATTAAAGAGGGCTGGGTGGGTGCTCTACAGCTGTGGGGTGCAGTTCCACCCTCAGCCAAAAACTCGGCGAGGACGCAGTGCTGCGGCGCCTCCCTTGCGCCCACAGCTTTCACCGGAACTGCATCGACGCTTGGCGGTGTTAGGTCTTTTGCACCGTTTGGGGGGGGGAGGGGTAATTTGTTCGGTTTTTCTTTTTGGGAGGGCGCCAGTGTACTCACTCCCTGAGTTCCTTTCGGAAAGACGATTTTAGTGGTAGATAAAAAGTATGTGTTTTTTTTTGGTATGGGGGTCTTCATATATGGGTTAGGAAACTAGGGCCGGAATATTCAATGGGGTTGTAGAGTACTTCACCAAATCGAGTCTTGGAGTGTGTAGTTCAGGCCGAAAAAGCGACCCCATTTTGCTAGGCGCTTTTCAGCTTGCCTGGGGCTGGAGACAAGTTCTTGGGTTCCTTCCCCAAGGTTTGACTTGTTGGATTTGTCAGACTAGGACTTGAACGCCGAGTTGGATCGTTCCCCGACTTTCGGGGCTGAACTCGTTGCACTGCAAAAGAAGCCTTGGAACGAACAACCACTTGTTTGACGGGGGCCATCAAGTGGAGAAGTGAATGGTTGCCACCTAAGAGTGTGGGCTTCCTTTGGGAGGTAACCGCACACTTGCCGTGGAAGGAAGAGGCTGGTGGTCCCTTGCCCTCAGGAATCCTCCGAAATCTGTTTAGAGGAATCTGCCGGGGGGGGGGGGGAGTACTATTTTGATTTTTAGAGCAAAATCGGTTGCTTGCCTGTTGGTGTCCCTTTTTCGAAATCCATTGAGAAGGGGGGATTGCTACGTTGGGACTTTGATAAGGTGGGCCACCATCTGGACAAGACTCCTTTGCCAGGGTTTGATAAAGAGTTAGGTCCTTTTAAGCCCTTTCTTTTGGTTTCCCTATTCAGCCAGCATCGAACGGCGGCCCATATCATTTTTGCAGAGGGGCCGACGCCTGACATGTACAGCTTGCCCGTAGAGGATCCATGGACTCAGAAAGTCGGACAGAGACTTGCGTCGGTCGCCCGAACCTTCTGGCCACTGGAGAAGAGCCTTCATGTTCAAACCATGGGCTTGTGATGTTTCACCGGAGCTGAAGTCAGGAAAATAGGGGGGGTCTGAGAGTCTGGGACCTTCATGGGGGCCAACCGGCCAACCTCCCAACCAATCGCGTGGGATCCCGAGGACAAGTGGCTGAGGCGGAACAAGGTGTGCCCACTCTGCCTACAAGACATTGAGGTCCCAGCGTCGCCGAAGGGCCGTTGGGGCAAGAAGACCATCTGATTCTGAGGCTAAGCCTCGACCGAATTTCAAGTTTCCCCCGCAACCGGGCGGATCCCCGGTGATCACGATAGCAACCAAGGGAGACCAGAGTTAAAAACAGATTCCAAAGGGAAGAGCCCTGGTTGCCTAGTGGTAGCTGGGATCCCTGGTTCCGAAAAGCAATTCGCCGTCAATCCCCATGTGCCCAGAAACCAGAGGCAACAAGGTGGTCCCCAAAAGCAGGTAGTGTGGAAAAACCGTGTCCCTATCGAAACAAGCAAACCATCACGAAGACTCCTGCCCAAACGTTTGGGCTGAAGTAGGCAGCCAAAAGGGGCAAAGGCTACGGCCAAATATGGCCTTGACGGTTGGATCGAGGCTGACAGGGCTTTGCGAGCCTGACCCGGGGAATCCGAATCTGTGGCGTGGACACCGAACATGTCGGACACCGAACACGTGTTTCAGTTCGGCCTGCCCCGCATGTTTCTCAATCTTCGCTTTCGGGCAGTCTTTGTTCGTTTTTTTTTTTTCATTGGCGGGTTGGTTCACATACACACTTGTTGGCAGGTGTCTTCATGATTCCAGAGGTTCATCACCGAGGACCCTTTGGCTGTTTTTCCCGGCCAGTCGTCTCGCCAGTCCGCGGCGTGCAACGGTTTGTCAGAGTAGCGGCCTGTTGGGCCATGTACCAGGATCAGATGGACTGGCGGACTGGCTTTGGCCTGCCTGGGCAAAAGAGGAGGACTTAGCCCCGATTGAGGGCTGCTCAAGATGAAAGGGTCCCGATTTTTGGATTCTGTTCCCCCCTTCAAAAATCGGCTGACAAGAGGGACTGAACGACGCTTGTTTCAAGGACTCCCATGGACCACTTTCACAATTACTGGCAAGCGGCTGCCCGTGATTCTTTCTTTCAAATGGGGCTGGCCGAAGGACAAAAGCCATCTCGTTATTGAGCAATCCTCCGATAGCCTTGGTTGGAAGGTTGGGACCACGCGTGAATCGAAAAGGGCGGCTGCGTTGCTTTCGTGCGCGCCAGCTGGTGTGCCAGGCATGGAACTTTGTCGGGGTGTTTGCGCGCCAACAGCAAAGCCTATCCTCCTGTTTAACATGGAACCTGACTGGGGGATCCAGCAAGATGTTTTCCTTCAAAATGGTCCCTCTCAATTGGTTCCATGTTGGTGGCCCAGAGGGCAAGTGGAGGACAATTGCACCGAACCCCCAAAAACGGGCACCGAGCCGAGAAGCAAGGCCTATTTCAGCGGACCTTGCGGACGGCTCCAAGATCGCCCCTTGAGCAAAATGGGGTAAATTTGGGGTGGACAGATGATGGGTCCAACGCACTGAAATCACCCTCCGGAGTCCACATCGGGCCCCTCGCTGGTGCCCACGAACCAATTGAGCTCACAATGAAACATGCCGATGGACAAAATCCGCTTGGCACCAGTTGGACCACCTGCCCGCTGGTGCGAAGCGGATTTTGTGCCTAGTACGGTCAGCAACCATCCGCTGGGTATCGCAAGCTTGGCATGGGCTACTTCGGTCAAAAGGGTTGCTTGGCAGCACCCTCTTGCATTTTCCTTTTCAACATACACCTTTTTTATAGTTATCTTCTGTGTTTTTTTCTATAGCTGTTGCTGTTGTAGCGAAACATAACATGTCTCCTGGTTTGCCATTCAGCCCTTGAAATGCCATGGAAGATCTCGCCCTTTGGCGGAGGCGTTCTGAAAGCTTCCATGGCGAGTCCACCCGAGGGAGTGTAGCGAAGTGGTAAGTTTACCGGGGCCTGCAGCGTTTGACAGATGCGATGAACTTATGTTTTTGGGGGGTTTTAGGGTCCAAATCCTTTTGTGAGACATTATTTGTTTTAGAGAACCCAAATAAGCTAGGATAGTCCCAACCACACGTAGGTGCATTCGCGCGGTTTGATTCTTTAATTGCTCGGTTTGGCGTAGACCAGTTTAATAGAAGTTTTCAGTATGACTCAGATGGCCGCTGAACTACCATTTGGCGCTGAGTTCCAGACCATTGGGCAGGGTCATTCTGTTTTTGTTGTTGTTTCCTTCCTAAAAAGCGTTTGGTTGCTCCAAGCCGTTCCACTGACCAAACCACCTTTGGGTAGAACAGTGGCAGGGGTCCTCTGCATTTTTCAAGAGGGATCCGGTCTTAGCCCTGTTGGGCTGGTGCCCATGATCTTTGGAGACATTTAAGGAACCCTGTGTTCAGTGGCACTCCGTTTCCGTTGGCCCCATTTGAGTGAAGCTCGACGTTGCGAATGGTGAAGGCAGGTGCTTCGGCCATTCCTTTGTGGGTCCGGTATGGGGATGGTTTGGTCGAGCCCCAAGCTGGGCCCATGAACCAGGAAAGATGCGGGGTCGGAAAACTGTCCCTTAAAACAACCCCCACAGTACTAAACATAAGGAACCAGCCCATCAAAATCCAATGCAGGAGCCGCTTCAACACCAACTTGCTCTGGACCCACCATGAGAAGGTGCGACGCCTCGACTTGAGCTTCGGCAAGAGCGTTTTGGGCATGTGTCAATATGGGTGTCTTTTGGAGGTAAGTACTCCGCCTCATTGTAGATTGGGGCCTACATAAATGGCAATGTTGACCCCGGATAGTAGAACCTGGCGGATGAATTGGGGCGGTGTTGCTGCCAAAGAAAAGGATCCTTTCTATAGGAGACCCGCAACAAGGTTCTCAATACTTAGGGGCAGACTTCACAAGAAAAACGAGAGCCCTGTTCGATTCTTTCCCATTTGGGTAGACTTTACTGGGCGTTCCGTGGGGAAAATTGGGCTGGGGAGGGTCACTGGGCCGCCGATGAGGACTTTGCGCACTTCCCAATCCCCAAAATGCTGGCAGGAATGTGGTTTTTGTTGAGGGTATGACCGGAAATCTAACTGAAACGGAGGGGGGGGGGGATCCATATACCATGTGGAGACAAACCTTGAAAGGGCCGCCGAGATTCTCTCCAAGGAACCCCCCCAAGGCCCATCTCTTGTTTTGCCCCCTCTGGCCATATTGGGGGAGGCAAGGAGGGGATTAAGATGCGGGTATGGGCCAACATGAAACTAGCAGGAGACCGCATGTTTTTTTTGTGGGTATGTTTGACCCACCAGTTATGTGTCAAATGGGGAGCCAAGCGCCAAACCAAATGCCACCCCGACAGACCTCCCCCAACTGGCAAGGTGGTGGTGGTGGACCAGCAGCTGGCAATCGTTGGAGGCGGGTTGATCAGACATGTACTGTCGGTGTCAAGTGTAGATGTTTCGACATGTTTCAATCAACTGAGTTGAGGTTTTTCCGGGGGTGTGGACAGTGTCGCAAAATATGTGTACTGTTGGGATGATCTAAATCCTTGTGAATCAGGTGATGGCTGTATTATCGGGGGAACCCTTGTCCAGGGTGGCCTTCTGCCTTGGAAAGCGGTGCTGGGAGAGGCAACGGGAAGTGATATCCGCTTGGTCTGCGTTGACTCGACTCCAACTTCTTGATACGAAAGGGACCTTCCAGAGCCATGGCCCCTTGGGCCTCACTAATTAGCTCGACCAACACCTGCATTTTATTGGCTTGCATGCAAGCATCTGACTTTGATCCGTAAGTGGGAGACATAATTCCGTCAGCATTTCCCGTTGCTTTGAGCCCTATTACAGAGGATCGAAGCCCCATGGCAGAGAATTCGGTTTGGTTTCCTTTGGTTTCCATTGGTTTCCCTTCAGCAGGACCAATTGTGCCAGGGCCGGTCCCTGGACTCACTGGCTTTCCCATGCCAACGACGGGTAAAGGAAAAAAAACACAAAAGACAGCCTCAGTCAATTCTGACGCCATGTGGAAAGAAGATGTTGAAGCCCTTGAGTTGATCGTTCTGGTTGACACCACGCCCAGCCCTCATGATTGGTACACTGACGTACTTTGCTGCATTCTTCATCGGTACCAAGTCAAGCTCAGGATCAGACGCGGTCTGTGATGCAACCAAATCACCTGTTGCGCTTGTGGCTTTTGAAGGCCGATCCGTGGCGGACCACATTCTTTTCTGACGAGCGCGTCTTAACATGGGGGACCCCCCCAAAAATGTTTGGTTTCTTTGGTTTCCCTGTAAAAATCACTCCAAAAGCGATAGCCTCATACAAGACACACCCCATCTCTCGATTTTGCACAGACGAAATCAACGGGGCCCCACGCGCTGGAGCGGCGTCCGGAAGGCGACGGATGCCCTCTGAGCACCAGGAAATGGGGGAATGACTCCTATAAACCATCCCTTGTGGTTTCCTTTCAGGGGATTTCTGGGTTTATTCCCTCATTCCCTGCTGAGCACCAGCAAGAAGAAAAGAGCCGGCATAAGTCCGCCGTTTCGAGGGGGAAGTCCGAAACGTTTGGGCGACATCTCGTCGCGCGCGTTGTTTTTTGTTTATTTGCCCAGGCCTGGACATGTGCATCGGCCGCTACGATGCCAGGGGCCTTAGGGTCGCAAATCGCAAAGGCTTTGGGTGGCTCAGATGGTATTCCCTTGCATGGCATCTCTTTTAAAAGCATGTTACATTTTCAGGTTTTCGACCTATGGACCAGAATCAAACATATATTTTTGGCCGGGTCCGGGTTGGAGTCAAGATTAAATCAGCACGATGTTTCATGGAAGCAGAGGTGGCCTGGATTTCTTTCACCCATTCTTTTGAAGAGGCACGCTGCGTCCTGGAACCAAGCCCCCTTGCTCCCGAGCAGAGTGACCTCCCTAGCGCGCCCTCAGGCCGGCAGGATGCTCAAGCTTGAAACAGCCCAAATCCCTAACCTTCGGCACAGGATTCCTCTCCTCGCAGATGTGGTGACGCCTTCGTGAGACATGAGAGCAACCTTCTTCTAAAGTCCAACACCAATTTCGTGCACTGCTAACTGGATCTACTGGATCTTGGTGAGAGCAAAGGCGGCCCCCTGCAAAACATTTGCTGGCGTCTTTCTGGCCAGCAGTCTAAGCCGCTGAGGTTCGTGGGGTCGCCTTTTGACCTTGGGAAAGTAGACATCGCTGTGCAGTACTCCTCTGGGAGAACTCTGCTTTTACTCTTTTTCCCCCTGACGATTCCACCGCTCCGGGACGACGAAAAATCAGTTGAGCCACAATAAAAACCTGGGATGGAGGTTAGAAGGGATACTCCAAGCCATAAATAGCTGCGGCCGCCTTCTGAATTCTTTACATCTTCTGGGTAGACCATTTTAATACCGGGTTTTTATTATGACTCAGTTGGGATCCTTTACTGGCGGATCCCTTGTTTCAGGTTTGGGAACTGGAAGACGCGCGAAAACGAAGCATCTGCGTAGCGTTTGTTGCACAAACAGTCACGCTAGACTGCGCCCAGCTTCGCGAATTGCTTGATTTTCGTTTGAGGTCTGATTCTAGCAGTGTTCTGGTTGCGAGCCCCTGTTGCAGATGAAGCAGGGGATGCCCCCTGAATTTCTGAGCGATGTTGATGCTGGCTGGTGATGCCACAGATGCTTGTCATTAAAACATCGGAGTCGCTGGGCCAAAGTTGAGGTGGTTGGCTTGCGGAAAAAGCACCGGATGTGTCTCCCTTCAAACATAGACTCAACTCGCCTTTTTGGTTCCTTCGCCCTTTGAGTTTCCTTCATTTCCCTGTTTGCTCCCCAGTTTAACATGAACCCCAAGAAAACCCATCATTTTTAGGAGGGTTTAAGATGGAACCCCCAAAAAGCCCTCCATTCTTAGGAGGAGTCTTTTGTTGGGGGACCCCTTTCGGGTTTCACGTCAACTACGGGGGAAGTGTTGGGGGCCTCTCTCAGGACTGGCAGCACCGCATCAGTGATCCGGAGTCAAAGACTTGGAAGGGCCAGGACTACTACAACCCTCGCATCAAGGAGACAAGGGAAAAGCACATGAGTCGACACCCCTGGGAACGAAAACATGGACCATGTTCCGATTTGCAGCGGAAAGAAACTTCTTTGTAGGGGGAAGCCACAAAGGGTTCGATGTCTAGCTGAAAACGGCATTTGTCTCTTCTTGTTTTTTCTGAATTGATTGAATGGTTTAGTGCAGAAAAACAAATAAACATGATCTCCTGGAGGGTTTCCAAATTTGAGAAAGGACCAGTTGGGGGGGGGTGTCCTAGAATTGGACTTCCCATTTTGGTGCGCTGAAGATGGCTGGTGCTTTTCTTGGTTTCCCTTGACGCACCATCTAAGGCCAGCTTTAGATTTTGGCACCCTCCCCCTCGATCCCTTTGGGTCTTGACCTTTTTGGGGGTGTCTTCAGCCCTCCTGGACACAAGTTGGACCGCACGGATCCAACATGAGACTGGTGCCAAAGCCTTCCACATCAAGACGGCTGAGAAACCCAGCGCAGTCTTCGACCAGATGAGAACAAGCACCAAGAGTATTGCAGGTCAGTGATGAGGACAAGTTGGGTGCTATCCAAGCTGAAGTGATGACAAAGCACAGGGAGTTCACCATAGGAAACCAGCCAGACGCGCCGCTTTGAATCCTAGGGGAACCGAAGTAGTACGAGGGGCCTGGGGCTAGAAACTGAAGGGTGGGTGGGGTGTGGGGCCCAACGTCACGGCAATCCCGTTTCATTGTGCATCCCAGCAGAGTTTCAATTGGCATTTGGGCTCAGATGCGCCGAGCCTGTGATCCTTGGAAACGAAAATCGCTACGGTCGATAGCCAGGAACAAGGGTCCATATTCACCACGGGGGTCTCACTCATTCCCACTTGCAGACAGCTGCTGAATATTGACAGTTGCTCGTAATATACATGTTTCGAAAGAAGTATGTGCTTGTTGACTTTCGTCAGCAGGACAATTTCAGGGGGGCTGAGCCTTGTTTGAACTCCCCGGATCTCCCTCTTCGATTGTTTTAGACATCACTTTCTTGGACCAACTCAAAAAGGATTTTGATCTAGAGAAGATAACATGTTGGTATGAGCCCCGGGCCATGTAGTCTTTTTTGGAGGCAACTTCTTGCAACTTCTTGCAATTGGCTTGTCGGGAACTCGGTTGTTGACTGCTTGGAATTCTAAGGAACTCGGCTTTCCCTTGAACTTCAGCCAGAAAGGGTGTGCCGGTGTGTGCCATTCACAGAGACGTCAAGCTTATGTCTAGCCACTCTCAAATGGGGAACCTCACGACGCAAATGGACGAGAGATCCCCCAGTTCAAGGAGCTCAAGGGGATAATGAAGAAGGGACTTGCCCCTTTGAGCTTTGCTCAGTCTTAAAAAATCGGATCCTTCTATTTCCCCTTTGAAGGTCAAATTATTTGAGCCTCTTTTGTGGGGTTTTCTGTATGCTTTGGGCTCTGGACCCAAAGGAGGTTCTGGTTTGAGCAGGTATCGTCCTTGGCCCAACCCTCTCTTTGAGATACTACCCTTTCTGAAATGAAATGTTGTCAAAACGAAGGCACCAAAGCTGGTACAGTCGTACCCTTCAGGAGTTTCAATTTGGCTGTGGGTCGAAAAATAGGTACCCAAAATGGAACCCCGGTAAGTGGAAACATGGACTAAAACCTGCGGTCCCCTGGCGGATTATTTTTGACCCATACCCATTTGAGCATATTGGACAAAATCAGGCCCAACTAATTCACAGCCTCGGAGGACGTCACGGAGGGCCGGCTGCAGAAGGATTTGCTGGAGCGCTCCGTGCAGCCGCGCCTACCCTGGCAGGACACGCACCCCCAGGCTCCCTAATTTGTCTGGGTGAATTATAACGACCTCACACGACCTCACCCCAAACGGTGGTTTATGTGGAGAATATCTCCCCAACCATCTTATTTCAGGTTGGTGACATATTATAATTCACCCAGATTTGTAGAGGACACCCAAGATGGGTGTGTCTTGTTGAGGGTGCATGTGTTGGTGTCGTGTTGAATGGACACCAAAAGGACACCACTCGTTTTGGGGGACCTTCATGAGACAAACCCAGGTCGACTTTGCCCCAGGGGTTCTATTTCTTTACAAATACCACAACTTCACATTTGGTCGTCCCACCCCAGGGCAAGTCCAAACCGCCGATTGCCCTGTCACTTGAACCAACCACACTGGGTTTAAGTCTATACCTTGGGGCCATGGAACCTGACATTCCGGTGGTTTGGGGCCATTTTCCTCAAGATCTTCTGGTGGGTTCCAATGCAATGTTGGGGGGGGAGAAAATGTTGGGGGGGTGGGGGGTCGGGTACTGCCTGGAAAATTATGGTCGGGCCCCCACGATACCAAAAATCGGACATTCTGGGTTTACGCCCATATGCATTGCGGCTCAAAAAATGGAACCCTACAGCACGCAGCCGGACTGAGAGCCATGATCGGATCCCCATAAATGTCCCCTTTCGGTGATTCGATCATTTGATAAGCTTGTTTCTGTTTGTTGTTCTTTTCCGTTGTTTGTTTGTTGTTGTTTTGCCGGGGCGGGGGTGGGCGGTCATGTTTGAATGGGGACGTAGAAAGACACCCAGTCAAAACCTGAGATGGGCGTGTCTCATGCTTTTCCGTTTTGAAGGCGGCGGTGCAGAGGTTGCTCCGAGGTACTGAAGACTGAGCTGTCCAGAGGTAACTCTTGAGCCGGTTAAGGGCCCTAAAGACATGACCCTTGGTGATTTTTGAACGGGTCAAACGAATGTGATCCCACTCAAAAAACGTGGCCTTTCGTTTCGGTGAACCCTAGACAGTTGAACAACTTGCTGGTTCCTCGGGGGGTTTGGGAATGAGCCTATGGATTCCCAAGGAAGCCGCAAAGGATGTGTCAGTTCAGGGTGATTCCCTCATTCCCAAGGGGGGACACGGGACAAAGGTTTGAATTTTCAATGGTTCATAATGTTCATTTCGTACAGTCATTTCATTGTTCATCTCATCATCTATTTGTTCAACCTTTCGCGGAACCAACCCTTTATTCAACTCCTTTTCCTTTTCTCCTGAAATTGATTCCACTCGATGCACAAATACATCAGGTTGACAAGCACCAACTTAGTCCAGTTGGGATTCGGAGCCTTGTTGGACGTTCAACCCACTGAGCAAACTACGTGATTAACCATGATTACCCAAGTAGCCATGGTTATAACCGACTGGTGTTGTCTCAAAATTGGGGAATCCCCCAAAAAGGGCCGGTTTCCTAGTGGCGTCCCTTCTTGGAACCATCCAAAAAGCGGAGACCCCCTGAAACAAAAGGCCCCCCCACTTTTGTTGGTCGAACAAGGACGTGGCCTGCGAGGTGTTGGGCAGGGCGGCGTCGGGACGCCTCGAGTCGAGAAAAAAATCCCGATTTTGGTGGTCTTACGGACAATAGAATGAACGTGGGGATTCCCTTAAAGGAAACCATGGGGGATGGTTTCTAGGGACCATTCCATTTCTCATTCCCTGCTGAGAACCAGCAAGTAAAGACACAATTAAAACCCGGGCAGATGAAGGTTAGCAAGGGCCAATCCCCTTGCCATAAATATATAGCGGATATCCGCCCTCTTAATTCTTGAAGCATGGTTCTGGGTTCACCATTTAAATACGGGGTTTTGATTGTGGCTCATGTGTAGTTTTATGGGGTTGGCACCAATTCAATTTGTTCAGCTCAGTTCAAATCAAACCATACCACCGTTTTTGGGCATGCGCGGGGCACTCAACCGCCAACTGAAAACCAGCAAGCAAAGTTGCCTGAACATTGACAAAACACCCAACACAGCATGAAGACGGGATATGGCAACAGCAGGAATTAGGTGTACCTCAAAATAGTGAACTGCGAGCCTCCCCAAAAACTGCCAACGGTGTCCTTTGGTTTCCTTCTTTCAAGCCAACAGGAAATTCTTCTCCCCCGCTCAATAAACAAATGGTGGGTTATTGAAACTCTTGATATCCCTGAGAATTGCAACAAAAAACAATCCCGCCAACAGGCACAGGCCCATTTGAGCCATTTGCTATTTGGACTACGGCATTTGGGGAGTTCGCAGTGATGATGCCTCGCGTTTGCGGCAAATTGCCCCCAAGAAGTTTCATTTGTCTGATTTCATTTCCAGAGTTGCGGGAAAGCCTTTCTCCCCGTTGTGGAGAGACATCCATGGAATTGGGGCGCGCCTTGAGGTAGGGGCCGGTGGGGATGAGTGGCATTGGCTCGGCCGAAAGCATTGGCTCGGCCGGAAAAGTCCCTGGCGTTTTGCATGGAACCTGAAGGGAATCTCTAAATACCTGGCGTCTCGGGGAAAACGGGTTTGAGTGACCCACTTCGGTTTCAAGGACTTTCCAAACCTTTCAGCGCCACTTTTTGACCACCACCTTAAGACCCGGGACGCCAACAACCCACAAGAACCCCCCGAAATAGTTGGATTCCTTTTGGTGTCCCTTTAATCCAATCCCAACATCGGGTAATTACCCTCCAAAACACACCCACCCGCAGGCTCCATAGAGTCCCAGACACATTCCCCGAGCCCAAGCCCCGAGGCGCGATGTGGCGCGGCATTGCGTGGAGCGCTGGAACCACGCGAGGCGCCTTTCAAAGCAAGCGCCGTTGGAGGGGTCAACGGAGGGGTGAGCCGCGTTGCGGTTGGGGGTGGTTTCTGGTGACGACGGTGGGTCCAGAGGCCGGGGGGGTCATTTTTGGAGAGAGTCTCGGGGCAACAGCGGCAGAGTGCGATTCTTGAACAAGGAATCGAATCAAATGCAACAAGGATGTCAAGCCTACGGGCCCTCCGACTATTTGTTTCGGAACACACGGCGGCATGCATATCAAACGTATCAAACGCGGGGTGTCTAAAGTGATGACGAGTTCCCACCTGAGTGGTCAAACATGGTGGGCATGATTGGCAATGAAGGAAAGGACGTGTCAAACCTGGCTCCTGCCTCGGTGTTCCCACAAATCCAGATTCTATAGCCATACTTTACTCAACTCACGTAGATATACACTTGCACATGTTTGTTTATACATATACACACACGCACCAAATCCGCCGGGAGTTCTTGGGAAGGGTGTTCGTTTTTGGAGTGCAACCCCACGTTTCCATCGAGCCCATCAGCGGTATCTTTTTAGACTGCATGGCACTGTGGAACCTCATCTCCAAGCACTTGCAGATCACACCGGTCAATCAATCGGGGCATTCTGCACGCTGACAAGACGTAGCTTCAAACCAGATGCCCTGTAACCATCCCAATTGCGTAACTAGAAGGCATCTTCTCGAGTGTCAGTCCCCGAATTTTGGCATTCCTTGGAGGTGTTCTCTCAATTTTTGCACCAAGCAATTCTCCTTGGCAAGGTGAATGCGTTGTTCCAACAGGCACCCGTGGACTCCTTTTAGTTGGCGTGTCCCCCCCCCCCCAATGACCCCCCCGAGGTGTGTCAACTGGAGCAACGCTATGCGGCCAGGATGACAAATTTGGGTCACACTCACCAAAATGCCAGGAAAAAAAGCGGGGCGCAACACCAAATTCCCGCGAGCGCACCGTGAATATGGACCACTCTGCACGGCCTTGCCATGCCTTGTGGTCTTTCCGAGGAGGCGTCTTATGAAGCAGATGGGTATTGTATGTGTCAACAAAAGGGACTTAATACCTTTTCAGGACGCCAACATGAAACCGTGGCCATTTGGCCCCACCCTCACTCCAAAGGGGGTGGGAGGGGGGAGTTGTCCTCTATTAACCCCGTATTAAGTTATTAAGGGCTTATCCTTGGCTTATCCCAGGCTTATCAGGGATAGCCCCTCCCCCCATAAGCCCCCCTTGGGGTCCATGACAGCATCACATGCCCGTGCTGCCAGGAACATCAATACGTGCCTTGGCAGCCAGCGGCAGCCACAAGGGATTGAAACCCGACCTCCTCACTGGTATACCGCAGATCTATGAGATATATAGTATAACAGTATATAGTTGGAGCCTGCAGTGGTGCAGCCTTCAAAATTCCAGTTGCTTTTTGTGAGACAGATGGCGAGTCTGTAGTCCTTCTGAGTGTCAAATGTGAAAGGACCCGGTGTGGTGCAGGGACACCCTCAAAGGGAGCCGACAGGACCCAACCCCAACCGGATTTATGCAAAGGGCGGATGTTAAGAGTCCGCATCCTCAAAGTGATCCGGATCCCCTCTGAAATGGGCTGCACCTCTCACCCGCCCGGTTCTGTTAGTTAACCAGGGCTTGTTGATCCAGGTTTGCATGAAGGCTTACAGCGAGAGGGTCGAGTGTGCGGTTGATGACCTAACAATTGCTGCAAATTACCGTGGCTTTGTGGTCAAGAGTGGCGGGTTTACTTGCAACGTTCTGGCGGCATCAACTGTAGGACCTTCTGTTTTCCACCGTTGGAGTGCCGAACCTTGGGGGGCTCCTGAAAGGGTTTGTCGCATGAGGAAACCACCCACATGGGTGGGTTTCCTTGGCCTTCCCTTTGAAAACCAACCCCCAAAAAAGCACCGAGAGGGGAACATACCGACGACGAATCTTAAACAACTAGATCTAAATTGAAAAAACACCTTCTAGTTTTAGTGCCTAACCAGGGTTAAAAATGAGTTCACCCTTTTTGATCGTCGGTTCGGACCCTTCTCAAAGAGCACCCGATTAACACACAGCAGTGCGAGTCAAGACATGGATGCTTCTGGAAACAGGGACCGCTTCAACATAGGTCCATCGCCGTCTAAGAGAGGGTGCTCCCAAATCCGCAAGGTCTTCTTCTGAAAGCTTTTGTCAGCATCACTCCGGATTGGGTTCCAATGAACCCGCCAGACACAAAAATTTTAACGCCTCCGGCTCAGACCGCCGACATTACAGGCGTGTCCTAAGATCTATTCCCTTTCCCCCACAAGATCTTCCCCCCTTTTCTCCCCCAAGATCTTTCCCCCCTTTCCCCCCGCCCCCTGATCTTAGGGGGGGAAGGGGGGAAGGGGAACAGATTAGGGGGCAGTTCCCTTCATTTCCCGTTCAACATCCCCAGCATCTTTTGCATCATCCGCATCAATGCGTTCCAAGGATGCGGATGATGCAGGTGATGCTGGCGATGGTTTTGGAAATGCTAAGGATGCCGAAACGTAGCCAGGGGGAATCAAACCCCAACATATTTTTACGCAACTGTATCCCACACAGCCCCCCAAAGAAATGAACATCTTGGTGAGTCCATGTTGCCGATGAACCATAGACTTGTACTGGCCCAAGCATCCACACAACGGGGTGTTGGGTCTTTTTTGGGAACACCAAACAAAACACCAGCGAGAAGCAGTAGGTAGGTTCTAGATCATTGCAACCACAAAGAATCAGTTGCACAGGCTTGACTTGATGAGTTGGGTTGAGCCACCCCCCCTCGTACCACGCGCTAGTTCCAACATTCCCGCAAAAAACCAGGGACACACTAACTGCCCAAACCAGACAAACTCACCAATGCCCAAGCTAGGAGCCCGCCAAATGCCCAAGACAGGGGACTCACGCATGTTTTTTCAAAGCGATGGCCCCGTCGCGGACCCCCCCCCCTGTCCGCCAAAGGATCTACGAGGAGCTGCCCTTGGCACTGCTGAGGCGGAAGGCGGGTGAAGTACCAAGCCCACTGAAAAACATCCGAGCACTTGAATGAATATGGCCTTGGGTCAAAATCCCGTACCCCCCCCCAGTGAACATCCCAATCCCCACTAAAATAGATTAACATGGGTGGTGCACCTACCCCAAAATAGTACCATTGGTTTTGAGCCACAGCCATATGGATGAACGAGTCAATGGCGAATGTTGACCCCGGATTAATCAACCCCAGTGTATTTTTTTGTGGGTGTCTATCTGGATTTGGTGTTTGGATAGGAGGGGGGACCGCTCGAGATTCGAAGAAGCTGGTTGCAAAATAGATCCCTGTTCAGCCTGGGAATCTCTTTTGATATTATTTTACACAACAATCAATACATATGGACCAGCAGGCATACTGGGAGCGACAGCTGTATGAGTTTTTTTCCCGAACTGGGGCTAGGGTGAGTTTTGGGCTGCCTGAAACCTGAATGAGAGCGGGTCTTTTGGTTTGAGGTTGATTTAGGCTCGGAAGAGGGCTGATATTCATGCTGCTGTGGAGTGGTTGGGTTGACCTTCGGTGGGTTTGGGTTGGCTTGGGGCTGATTTGTTCTAGGGGTGCGGCTGATTTCGCGGTGGCTGTAGGCTCGCTTTAGGGTGTGGCTAAGTGGGTTGTGGTCAAACAAAAATACACCTATACATAGAGGTATTCTTGCCCTTTATATAGTGGCGCACTACACAGAGGCTGTAAATCCCATTAAACCCCTGGGGCACTGGGGCAGTGGCTTGGTGGTTGGGAAGACCATCTTAGAGCACTGTAAGTTATGCCTCTGTCGCGTAAGTGGCACGCTTGAAGCATGCAGTTGCATAGAAACACCGCGTGATTTTTTGGTGTTGGTGATATTTCTGAGAACATGGGATGGGCAGCAGACCTGTTGTTCAAAAATGATCTCAGCGTTCCAAAATCATCCATGTCCATGATTGATGAACAGAGGGTTTTCGGCTGGAATTGTAGGTGAACTTTACATGTGGTGTTATGTCCTACCATGCCTCCCCCCCTCCCAACGCCTGTAGAACCTTTACAACCATCTTAGTCAAACATGCCAAACAGAAGTCAATGGATCCACTTACTTGGAGCAGCACGTTGGCCAGATCCTCTGTACATGACCGCGGCCTGGAACTAGTTTTCAGGAAATCGGAAGACCCGCCTCCATCGCGGGAAGGAATGCTTGTTGTGGGGAATGCAAGCTGGGCTTTTGCGTTTCTCCAGGCTTCCATTAAGGGGCAGGTTGGACAGGCAACTTCGACCTGCGAATCAGCATGGTGGCTTCAGGAGCCAATGGTGCAACATGGGCCTCAAACCCATCTTGAGAAACAGGGGTTTGTTTAACGTGGCCGGGAGTCTTCGTATGTGTAAGCCTGCGTTTGCTTGGACAGGGAGTTCCCCCATTTGGAGACACACGGCTCTTTGGTTGCAGGTGGCCGTGTGCAATGATGAGATGCTGCGACGGCCACAGCAGGCCCGAAGAGCGAGGGCGAATTTGGGTTTGGGATTGTGCGCTGAATTCTTATGGTTGTTCCAGAGCCCAGAACTGGAGCTCACAATCGTCGCACAGCAACAAACCACCCAAAGGACCCGGGTAGCAAGCCAGCCCAGATGAGAGCCACGGCTCAACAGAGAGAGGGCTTTTGTGCGGGAGGGTCCGTCAAGCGCACCTTTTCAATTGGGTGTTGCCGAGGGTACTCTGTTTTGGTCCCCGCTTCAAGACATTCCCACCACAAGTCCCTCCAAGCATTGAGCATTCAATCCCTGGTTAAAACCATGAATTAAACCACGATTGTTTACGGAAACCATCTCTTGTTTCCCTTGAAAGGGCACCAGGGGTTTGTGGTTTAAGACCCGATCCTTCCGCGATATACAAAAGTGCTCTTTAAAGTAAGACACATCACGCATGTCCCTTTAGAAGGGTGGTTTCGACGTCCAATTTGCACTGAGTTTCTCGTTGATGTTGATAACGGACATGTCTGGAACCCCATGAAACGAAGAAAAGCCAGTTGCCGATGGTCGATTCGGGGTCAGTATCATGAACCAAAGCAAGGTCTTGAAAGGTCCCCCGCCGGCCCCCGCAATGGACACCTGAAGCTCTTTTCTAGGGCTGGAGAGTGCCAGGAATGAGGGTGACTGGCCTAGGGGATGTAACCTTTGAGCTTGTCAAACCCGGATGTTGTTTTATGGACAAAAAAAAACGTTTGCTGTTGCCGGTATTTTTTTTCGGCTTTGGGAGGGCTGCCCCTTGAGACTATGAAGGGAATGAGTGTGAATTAGAATTGGCCAGCTTTTGTAGTTCAAGCTTTTTGTTTACTTTGGGGGATCAAGAGGACAGACTTTATTCAGCGAGGTTTTGGTGGGTGCCGGAAAGCATGAACTGTTTTTCTGTTCGGCCAAACCTTGTGGGCCCTTGAACGCGGCAACCAGGCGAAAAGGGCAGTCTTTCATCGCAGGGGGTTTATTAATACGTCAAAAAATATGTGGCGAAGTCGAGATGGAATCCACACCTCAACCATCCTCAAAACCCGCACAGCACGTGGGACAGAACGGTCTTTTTGCCACCTTTTGGGGACAATTGTTCGACCCCCTCGTGAAGGTCGCCCAATTTCTCACCAAAGGTGGCACCGCTCTGATGGGACAGACTCCAGCGAGTCGAGTCGCCAGTCCTGGGACGGCGCCTGGCCACCGGAGAAGGGCCCCTGGCAGGCGCGGGTTTCGGGTTGGCGCGAGTCGAAGCGGCTTCCGCAAGGCGTTTTGGCACAGAAATCCTGTCTCACTCCCCGTGTTTCTGGGTGCTTGATGTTTGTTTCCCATGCCAAAGTGACACAACAAGGGTCACTTTTTGTGGCCAGTGCACTGGGGTGAGATTACCACCCGAGTAGATTTGGGGACCTCCAACACCGGTCTGGGACCTTTAGGGCATTACAATAGGATACCAAGCTGACCCAGCGGAAAAGAGGTATATATACATTCACTCGTTGGAGTAGATGTCACTTGTTGAATGCCAGGAGGTTGCCGCAGTTGGGCAACATGATCCTTGTCAAGCTGTTCAACGCGAGGTGTTGACTTAACTCCCCATTCCCAGGAATCCATCCAAAACCTCTGGACACCACAGGGGTTTTGGAAAACGATGGTTGAGCAGAATGGGGAATCCACCAGGGGGCAAAACAAATATGTTTCAGCAAGCAGACACCAGTCCCCTTTGAGGAGAAACCAAAAGGAGCTTCTTTCAAGAACATTTGCTACATCCCCCAGTAGTGCCCTTTTAGCCTTTTTTGGGGGAGGGTTCCCCTACTAAAATAGACTACAGAGAAAAGGGTACTCTTATTCTAACCTCTCTAGCGGAGGACCTAACTTGTGTAAATATGTTGAACAAGTTCTCGCCTCCTGGAATGCGCACCTGGTGGCATCGAGACTGCCGCCCTGCTGGACACCAAGCTCCGGTGAGGCTCGGTACCCTTTTCAGGGGTTGACATGGGAAATCAAAAGCACAAGGGCAAAGAGCGCAGAGACCCACTCGGCTTTACGGTGAAAACTGTTGAAGAAGACGAAGCGGGCGCGTTGTGGCCGGTTTCTTTCTATTTTGTAGGGTTTGGGGCCTGTAAACTTCACGCGCGGATTTCTTTCCTTTGCTTAAGTCTGTTTTTGTTGGTTTTCCCTAAAGGCAACGGTCACAAATCATGACTGGTCACTGTACCTCCCAGGAAGTTGCAACTGTTTTCCTCCCAGCATCTGTTTTAAGGTACAGTCTTGGCTATCTACGGGGTAGCTGTAACTCTTTGAGTTTCTATATGGTACCTTAAGCGCATGGCAGCTGTTTCTGGGCAGACTTCACATCGGCCACACGCGACTTTGTATGTCTGAGACACATGGTTCCAATTATCCTCCATCCTCCCCCCTCCCCCCATTGTCGTCAATTATACAATGTCACATCAGTCATCCGTACATGTCATTGAAGTCATTTGTAATTTATGCGTTTAGTTTGTGTTCCACTTTGTTTTTTGAAGGAATCGGCAGGAAAGCCAAGGGTTCCGGGGTGATTCGGAAGTGACGTAGCCATCGCCAGGAGTGCCGAGCTCAGGCACGGCCTGGGGAACTCGCCCCCACCCCCCCCCCCCTTCGCGCCGAATGGTTTGATTGTTGGGGTTTGAAACCATGAGGGTTTACCAGACATTTGTCAACCCCATTTCTCACCCAATGGTAAAGAGACTTCAGGGGTAAATCTGGTTTCGCCTGGCCTCAATGGTGGTAAGGTGAGGGACTGAAAAAAACCCGGGGCTGATCCCACAGGCCACCTGCCTTTTGGTGGTTCGTGGATCACACCGGCCCTCGTAACAGGCCATGACGATATCGGGAGCAATCAGTTGGACCAACCCAATCAGTGTTTCCCTCTACGTGCAAGCAGCCGAGTCCTTGTTGGACACGTGCAAAAGTCACACGCTGTGAAATGGTTGTGGTGGTGACGTGGTAGAAGTTCTGTTGTAAACTGGGCAAGGGTACCTTTTTTGCACTTATTCCTATGTCATGTTCTGTGTTGGCATAGAATCCCCCGAAGGGCCGGGCTGAACGCCATGAAGACACTATATAGGCACCATGTAATACAGGGTGGAAACTCCAGGCTGGGTGGGAACTCTAGGCTGGCCCCAAACGTGCCGCCAAAAGAGGACCAAACTCTACGTCCGCAAAAGGACACAAACACAAATACACATGGCCGAATGTGAGCAAGTAAGGCCAAAGCAAAACGTGGCTAAAAAGGGCAAATTCAGGGCAAATACCCTCAGAGAAGCCGGAATGAAGCCGAAGACCAAACAGGGCCAAAGGAAGGCATAATACGGCGGAAGGCCAAGTTTTTCTCAAAGAGATGCCAGCTGAGGCCCCAACCCGAGCCGCTAACATGCCCCCTATGCGTTTGTGAAGGGGCTAATCGGCAACCAGCCGTTGGAGGAGCTAAGTTATCCGGCTGCCACAACTTTCCGCATAGCGGAATGGCTGAGCGGTGAGAACCGGTGAGCCACTTCGAAAAAGAGATGCTTCCCGGGGTTCAACCTCCAATACCCATTTGATTACGGGCATGAGTAGGTGTGATGTCAACCTTCGACTCAAAAAAGACACAGAAAACAACCTAATAATAATCATCATGATAATGGTGAAACAAATGTAAAGCCAGCTGGTGGAAAGTCGCCCTCAAAAGACCGCGGTGTTTGGAGTGGACGGCGGGATCTCGGCGTCTCGACTCCGCCAGGTGGTGCGCTCCGTGGGCCGCTGGAGCGCGGGCAGCAAGACAGAGAGCTCCACCCACCAGGCCCTGCGCCGCCGACGGTGCGGCTTGGGTGGTGCACCTGACCTCTAAAAAAAACAAGGTTGAATTAGGTGGGTTTAGGTTGGCTCGGGATGGTCTACGTTGGGTTTAGGTGGGTTTAGGTTGGTTTAGGTGGGTTTAGGTGGGTTTAGGTTGGTTTAGGTTGCCTTGGGATGGTCTAGGTTGGGTTTAGGTGGGTTTAGGTTGGTTTAGGTTGCCTTGGGATGGTTTACGTTGGGTTTAGGTGGGTTTAGGTGGGTTTAGGTTGGCTCGGGATGGTCTACGTTGGGTTTAGGTTGGTTTAGGTTGCCTTGGGATGCTTTACGTTGGGTTTAGGTGGGTTTAGGTTGGCTTGGGATGGTTTAGGTTGGGTTTAGGTGGGTTTAGGTGGGTCTAGGTTGGGTTAGGTTGGTTTTGGTTGCCTTGGGATGGTTTACGTTGGGTTTAGGTGGGTTTTGGTGGGTTTACGTTTTGGTTGCCTTGGGATGGTTTACGTTGGGTTTAGGTGGGTTTAGGTGGGTTTAGGTTGGCTCGGGATGGTCTAGGTTGGGTTTACGCAAGTTTAGGTTGGTTTAGGTTGGTTTAGGTTGCCTTGGGATGGTTTACGTTGGGTTTAGGTGGGTTTAGGTTGCCTTGGGATGGTTTACGTTGGGTTTAGGTGGGGTTAGGTGGGTTTAGGTTGGCTCGGGATGGTCTAGGTTGGGTTGAGGTGGGTTTAGGTTGGTTTAGGTTGCCTTGGGATGGTTTAGGTTGCCTTGGGATGGTTTACGTTGGGTTTAGGTGGGTTTAGGTGGGTTGAGGATGGCTTGGGATGGTTTAGGTTGGGTTTAGGTTGGTTTAGGTTGGTTTAGGTTGCCTTGGGATGGTTTGCGTTGGGTTTAGGTGGGTTTAGGTGGGTTTAGGTTGGTTTAGGTTGGTTTAGGTTGCCTTGGGATGGTTTACGTTGGGTTTAGGTGGGTTTAGGTTGGTTTAGGTTGGCTCGGGATGGTCTAGGTTGGGTTTAGGTGGGTTTAGGTAGGTTTAGGTTGGTTTAGGTTGGTTTAGGTTGCCTTGGGATGGTTTACGTTGGGTTTAGGTGGGTTTAGGTGGGTTTAGGTTGGCTTGGGATGGTTTAGGTTGGGTTTAGGTGGGTTTAGGTGGGTTTAGGTTGGTTTAGGTTGCCTTGGGATGGTTTACGTTGGGTTTAGGTGGGTTTAGGTGGGTTTAGGTTGGCTTGGGATGGTTTAGGTTGGGTTTAGGTGGGTTTAGGTGGGTCTAGGTTGGGTTAGGTTGGTTTTGGTTGCCTTGCCTTGCTTGGGATGGTTTACGTTGGGTTTAGGTGGGTTTTGGTGGGTTTAGGTTGGCTTGGGATGGTTTATGTTGGGTTTAGGTGGGTTTAGGTTGGCTCGGGATGGTCTAGGTTGGGTTTAGGTGGGTTTAGGTTGGTTTAGGTTGCCTTGGGATGGTTTACGTTGGGTTTAGGTGGGTTTAGGTGGGTTTAGGTTGGCTTGGGATGGTTTAGGTTGGGTTTAGGTGGGTTTAGGTGGGTCTAGGTTGGGTTAGGTTGGTTTTGGTTGCCTTGGGATGGTTTACGTTGGGTTTAGGTGGGTTTTGGTGGGTTTAGGTAGGTTTAGGTTGGTTAGGTTGGTTTAGGTTGCCTTGGGATGGTTTACGTTGGGTTTAAGTGGGTTTAGGTGGGTTTAGGTGGGTTTAGGTTGGTTTATTTAGGTTGGCTTGGGATGGTTTAGGTTGGGTTTAGGTGGGTTTAGGTGGGTTTAGGTTGGTTTAGGTTGGTTTAGGTTGCCTTGGGATGGTTTACGTTGGGTTTAGGTGGGTTTAGGTTGGTTTAGGTTGGCTCGGGATGGTCTAGGTTGGGTTTAGGTGGGTTTAGGTAGGTTTAGGTTGGTTTAGGTTGGTTTAGGTTGGTTTAGGTTGCCTTGGGATGGTTTACGTTGGGTTTAGGTGGGTTTAGGTGGGTTTAGGTTGGCTTGGGATGGTTTCGGTTGGGTTTAGGTGGGTTTAGGTGGGTTTAGGTTGGTTTAGGTTGGTTTAGGTTGCCTTGGGATGGTTTACGTTGGGTTTAGGTGGGTTTAGGTGGGTTTAGGTTGGCTTGGGATGGTTTAGGTTGGGTTTAGGTGGGTCTAGGTTGGGTTAGGTTGGTTTTGGTTGCCTTGGGATGGTTTACGTTGGGTTTAGGTGGGTTTTGGTGGGTTTAGGTTGGCTTGGGATGGTTTATGTTGGGTTTAGGTGGGTTTAGGTTGGCTCGGGATGGTCTAGGTTGGGTTTAGGTGGGTTTAGGTAGGTTTAGGTTTTGGGAGGTTTGGGTTTACGTTGGGTTTAGGTGGGTTTAGGTTGGCTTGGGATGGTTTAGGTTGGGTTTAGGTGGGTTTAGGTGGGTCTAGGTTGGGTTAGGTTGGTTTTGGTTGCCTTGGGATGGTTTACGTTGGGTTTAGGTTGGGTTTTGGTGGGTTTAGGTTGGCTTGGGATGGTTTAGGTTGGGTTTAGGTGGGTTTAGGTGGGTTTAGGTTGGTTTAGGTTGGTTTAGGTTGCCTTGGGATGGTTTACGTTGGGTTTAGGTGGGTTTAGGTTGGCTTGGGATGGTTTAGGTTGGGTTTAGGTGGGTTTAGGTGGGTTTAGGTGGGTTTAGGTGGGTTTAGGTTGGTTTAGGTTGCCTTGCGATGGTTTACGTTGGGTTTAGGTGGGTTTAGGTTGGCTTTGGATGGTTTAGGTTGGGTTTTGGTGGGTTTAGGTGGGTTTAGGTTGGCTTGGGATGGTTTAGGCTGGGTTTAGGTGGGTTTAGGTTGGTTTAGGTTGGTTTAGGTTGGTTTAGGTTGCCTTGGGATGGTTTACGCTGGGTTTAGGTGGGTTTAGGTGGGTTTAGGTTGGTTTAGGTTGGTTTAGGTTGGGTTTAGGTGGGTTTAGGTTGGTTTAGGTTGGTTTAGGTTGGCTCGGGATGGTCTAGGTTGGGTTTAGGTGGGTTTAGGTAGCTTTAGGTTGGTTTAGGTTGGTTTAGGTTGCCTTGGGATGGTTTACGTTGGGTTTAGGTGGGTTTAGGTTGGTTTAGGTTGGCTCGGGATGGTCTACGTTGGGTTTAGGTGGGTTTAGGTAGGTTTAGGTTGGCTTGGGATGGTCTAGGTTGGGTTTAGGTGGGTTTAGGTGGGTTTAGGTGGGTTTAGGTTGGCTCGGGATGGTCTAGGTTGGGTTTAGGTGGGTTTAGGTAGGTTTAGGTTGGTTTAGGTTGGGTTTAGGTGGGTTTAGGTGGGTTTAGGTTGGTTTAGGTTGGTTTAGGTTGGTTTAGGTTGGCTTGGGATGGTTTAGGTTGGGTTTACGTTGGGTTTAGGTGGGTTTAGGTGGGTTTAGGTTGGCTCGGGATGGTCTAGGTTGGGTTTAGGTGGGTTTAGGTGGGTTTAGGTGGGTTTAGGTTGGCTTGGGATGGTTTAGGTTGGGTTTAGGTGGGTTTAGGTAGGTTTAGGTTGGTTTGTTTGCCTTGGGATGGTTTACGTTGGGTTTAGGTTGGTTTAGGTGGGTTTAGGTTGGCTTGGGATGGTTTAGGTTGGGTTTAGGTGGGTTTAGGTAGGTTTAGGTTGGTTTGATTGCCTTGGGATGGTTTACGTTGGGTTTAGGTTGGTTTAGGTTGGTTTAGGTTGGCTCGGGATGGTCTAGGTTGGGTTTAGGTGGGTTTAGGTGGGTTTAGGTTGGCTTGGCATGGTTTAGGTTGGTTTTAGGTGGGTTTAGGTGGGTTTAGGTGGGTTTAGGTTGGCTTGGGATGGTTTAGGTTGGGATGGTTTAGGTTGGGTTTAGGTGGGTTTAGGTGGGTTTAGGTTGGCTTGGGATGGTTTAGGTTGTGTTTAGGTGGGTTTAGGTGGGTTTAGGTGGGTTTAGGTTGGTTTAGGTTGGGTTTTGGTGGGTTTAGGTGGGTTCAGGTGGGTTTAGGTGGGTTTAGGTTGGCTTGGGATGGTTTAGGTTGGGTTTAGGTGGTGCTTGGATGGTTTAGGTTTGGTTTAGGTGGGTTTAGGTGGGTTTAGGTGGGTTTAGGTTGGTTTAGGTTGGTCTAGGTTGGCTTGGGATGGTTTAGGTTGGGTTTAGGTTGGTTTAGGATGCCTTGGGATGGTTTAGGTTGGGTTTAGGTGGGTTTAGGGCGGTTTAGGTTGGTTTAGGTTGGTTCAGGTTGGTTCGGTGGTTGGGGTTGGTTTGGGTTTGGTTGGTTTAGGTGGATTTAGGTTGGTTTGGGGTTGGTTTAGGGTTGATTTAGGATGGTTTGGGGTTAGTTTGGGTTCTAATGAAACCAAAAAGGAGGCAGATGTAGTTCAATGCTGCGGAGGTTGGCTGGAACCATGACTTGCCCACCACGAGACAAGCTTCGTGGGGGAAGTCCCAACCATAAGTCGTCTTGTGACTCGATTCTTCATTTGAGCCACAAGCCTGGTTCATTCAAGATAAAGTTGGCATTCCTGATCAACATTGCGGTGCTCACTTTTGCAATGCCTTCCACAGTGTTGGGCCGTTGACTCTGCTTCAGCGGTTCGGTTTTCCAACGAGCAAGATGGAGTTGCCGTGGGTACAGTGCCTACAGCAAGATGTCCTGGTTCCAGCGGGACGGTTGCCTGAATCTGGAGTTATGAATTGCAACAACAATAAATAGTTGCCACGGACTGCATCCCCCAGATAGCCTTAGCTATAGGGGTTCTTACTTCTAAAGAGGTGGGGTTTGTTTTGTGAAGTCGGGCCAGGTGGGTGCTGCAGGTGCTGGTCGGGGTGCTGTCCAGGATGCTGTGCTAGTTGTCTGAAGGTTGGTGGTTACTGGCGGTTCAGGAGCTGTGGTGGTGGTTACCAGGTGTTTTTTTTGGCGCTGCAGTCAGGGTGCTGGTCAAGGTGCTGCTGTGCCGGTGCTGGTCAGGGTGCTGTTTGGTGTGCTCTGCGCTGGCAGTTAGGGTGGTCAAAGTGGCGGTGCTTCTTTTGAGATGCAGCTTGGATGCTGTTATGGGTGCTGGTCAAGGTGCTGCTGTGAGGGCTGGTCAGGGTGCTGTTTGGTGTGCTCAAGGTGCCGCGTGGCGCCGCGTGGTGCCGATGCAGTCAGGGCGCTGGTTAGCGTGCTAGTCAGAGACAGGCTGCTCTTAGTGAGGGGTGTGCTAAAAGCGCAGTGGCAGTCGCGGGCAGTGCATATTTGGTGATTCAGCCAGGGTGCCACTAGGGGTGCTGGGTTTCGTTGTGGGTGTAGGTCAGGTTGCTGTTGCCAGTGGTTGGCGGTGCTTTGGTGCTGGTCAGGGGCGTGGTTGTTTGGCGACGCAGAGAGGTGCTAGTCAAGGTGCCGATGAGGGTGCCGGCCACGGCGCTTGTTATTGCGCGCAAAAGGGCGCTTTTTTTCTGTGCTGTTAAGGTGTTGTGGTGGTTGCCGGCGCTGCTTGTTTTGCAAGTCAGCCCGGGTGGTGTTGCGAGTGCTGTTGTGGTGGTCAAGGTGCTGGTCAAGGTGCTGTTTGGTGTGCTCAAGGTGCTGCGCCCGGTTGCTGGCGACGCTTGTTTGCCGAAGCAGTCTGGGTGCGGTCAGGGTGCTGTTGTTGATCTTGGTCTTTGTGCTGTTTGGCGTGCTGGCTGCGGCGCGCGCTGCCAACATCCACCAATGCGAGTCTCATTCAAGCGCAGACAGGTGTATCACGTACCTCAACTTGCCTTGGCACTGTACATCCTCTTGGACAAAGCTAGTGTGGGGCCTGGTGTAATCATGTTGGAACACCCGTTGTTCAAACAACTTGCTGTTGTTTTTTCAAGGACGCCAGGGTTTGTTTGAATAAAGCTTGCCAACCCTGAGCCAACACATGCATCCCGACTGCGACGCCAAGCGCAGGCGTACTGCGACCTCATCCAGGCGAGGGATAGGGCGGCCTCCCTTTTGAGTTGTCAGTCCGGGTTTTTAGGTTTTGTAGGTGAGCGAAATGTGTGACATTTCTGAATGTGCGGATGTATATATATATATATATATCTGTGTGTGTGTGTGTGTGTGTGTGTGTGTGTGTGTGTGTGTGTGTGTGTGTGTGTGTGTGTGTGTGTGTGTGTGTGTGTGTGTTTGAATGCGAAGTGCGAATGTGTGGGAACCATGCATATATTATATGCACGTGAAAAGTGCTTGTGTGTGTGTGTGTGTCCGTTGCTCAGCTGGTGAATCTCGCCCTGTGGGGGGTCATTATGACTGTTTCGGGGACTAACGTCAGAAACTGGGGTTGTTTCCCTTCAACCTACCAGTTGGGGTGTGACTTTAGCGGCAAACACTGAGACCGGCAAGGTTGCCTTCACTGCCATTTTCTTCAACGGGATACGGTGTTTATTTTGCGACCCTCATGCTTTTTCGGGGGAAACACAGAGAAACACATTTTTGAGGCACAACTGCCCTTGTTCTTTGAGATGCGCAGGGAATATTATGGAATCAACTGGAGCAGGTTTATGTTCACATTTGCTACTGAGCCATTTGGCGGTAGCCAGCGGTCAACTCCGCTGGGTCTGTCCCGTTGAAGAAGACAATTAGATAACTCAAACAGCCAAATGGGAAACAATCAACATTCCCCATCATGAACTGTTGGGGGATGACATTGTGCACTCTCAAAACATATCCATGGGGAAAGTGGGATTAGTTGGCAAATGCCCACGTCAGTCGGGAACACGATTAATGTTGACAGTGGCTCAAAGCAAACATGCGAGCCCAAGGTGAACACTACAGCTAGCACAAAAAATCGAAGGGGCCCTGGGAGCCTAGGGGAAGACTCTAGAGGTCCGACCAATGTATTTGTAACCCGTATCTCCCTGGAAAGTGTCAGGCCTAGACCTGCAGATCGGACCCGCGTTTTGGAATTTCCTTTGTACATCTCTAGGAGTGACTCCAAGCAAGGTTTGGCCGAGAAACACATTAATGGGTGCTTTAAGGGGGACCAGCAGAAAAAGGACCTCCATGAGTCCGAAGCGTTGTTCGACACCTAGGAGTCGAAGAGCTTCATCTACATCGAGAACCAGCGGCTTGACTCCACCAGAGAATCGGTTTGCTTTGGTGGGCTCCCCACTAAAACTGAATCTGGCACCAAAAGGGGTCCATTTGTTTTGCGACGGGGCTCTGGGCAGTTTTGTTTTGTTTGTTTGTTTGTGTTGTTTTGTTTTGTTTTGTTTGTTTGTTTGGGTTGTTGTTGTTTTTCCTTTTTTGTTTTCTTGTTTCTTTGCTTTGTTTGCTTTGTTTGCTTGGTTTTTGCCATCCGCTGGCAACGACGATTTATCTGATAGTGTTGCTCCCTTTTGCTGGTTTGTTCCATTGTTCCATGCGTTTGTTTTTTCGGTTCTTCTTTGTTTCCTTTTGGCTTTAGAGTTGGCTTCAGCCAATGGAAGCTTCCAACCAGCTGCCCGATTGCCAAAGCTAGCCCTGCAGTTGGCATCGAGCGCTGGCTTGGTCCAGGTTCTTCTGCTCTGGCTTGGAGGGCGACAACATCGGAATCGGCAACCGTGTGCTCGAGGCTCACTCGAGATCCGGATTTCGTCCCGATCAATGGGTCCGGGGAAATTTTGTTGTTGGCAGGGACGCGAAAGACTACCCAAAGACCCACACCCGCCCTCCCCCGTACGGTTTAAGGCCGAGATGCGTCGGGGGGATTTGCGGGTCCTGGGTATTTAGGTAACTCACAAAGTGTGTTTACGACTCACTTAGAAAGGTTCCGTTCTGGGGTTCTTATTGGCTGGCGATTTATGATTCACTCAAGGTTCTCCAGGTTGCCCCTTTACGCCCTTGGGTGGTTTTAAGTATCACTTATTGGCTGCAATTCGAAGTGAGCTTCCTTTGGGTGCTGTATGGAACCCTCATAGAAGGGGGTTCGAATCCTGAAAAGGAGTTTAATTGGATGGGCAGTTTGCGGGCTTCATACAAACCTTCAGGCGACAGTTTCCCTGAAGGCTTTGCATGTTCGCAGATCGAGCCTTTGGAACAGACACTTCTTTTGTCGACCCCTGCCAGTGGGTGCTTTGTCGCCAGTGTTCAAAGCGTGTCATCTCAAGGCGGGGAACCGATCCATATTAGAAGTAACCATCTTGTTTTTTGTTTTTTTTGCTTTGGGTTTGTCCATCCTCCTCTCCACGGACTCAAACGCGTATGGACTGGTGTGGTGCGCACGACCTGCTGAATGAGATGCTTGTTTAGCTATGCCCTGGAAGTAATCACATTGGCTCAGTCTGCAAAGACTTTCAAGCTGGAGAAAGGCTCGGAAAGGCCCCGCCGAAGGAAGCAAGAGAGACTCCGTTGCGGAGCAGAACTCCTGTTGTTTGGCTCTGGCAGTTTCGTGAGCGAAATTTCCTTCGACAAGCTTGGCCACTGGGCCATTGCTGGAGGAAGCTGACTGCAGTGTCAAGCGTTCTCCGGCGCCTGGCGAAGCACGGCTGCAGGTCAACTGCCATGGCGAGGAAGGTTGCAGCCTCGCTCGGTTGACGGACATGCGTGGGAAAGCCACCTTCAAACTTGAAGCTCAAGCAACCTTCTGCTGCGCCAAATGTCCATTCCAAGTTGTCGAAACTTCCGCTTCAACGGAAATGATTCTTGTCAATTCCAAGGATCACCGAAAAGCCAAGGGCATGACTCGGACTCGGGCGGCTTGAGTACTGGCCTCTGACAGGGTGGTCACAGTCCATGGGCGCGCTGAACCAGTTCCGCTTCTACAACCCAGAGGTGACAATGATAGTTGGGGGATCCAAGCACGTTCAAACCTAGGATTTGGAACGGGTGTATATAGTGTACTCTGAACACGAAGCCATTTGCTTTTGGGAATCTCAACCAAAAAGGGCGACTCCTCTTTTGGTATGTGGCTGTGGGTCAAAACCAATGGTACCATTTTTGGGTAGGTGCACCACCCATCTTAGTCTATTTTGGTGGGGATTGGGATGTTCACTGGGGGTACGATTTGGCTTTTGATCCATGGCCGTATGTCAATCTGCAGGAGTGCCACTCTTGGTCGGTTCCACCCCCAAGATGGGAGCCCGGTCGACTGGCAGGCGCTCTACCGCCGAGTGGCCGGGGCCTTGAGTCGACTCGAATCGGAGACGAAGGGATCTGCCAAGCCAAGAACCTCTGCTTGGCAATTTGAAGATGCAGGTGGTTGTGGAAGGACCAAATTCCATGATTCCAAAAAAATAACGCTTGAAAAGCCATAAAAAAGCTATAGATTGAACATTTCTCCTTCGGACGGTTTCCAAGTGAAATCAATTGGAGACCGACGAGCCAAGCCACCTGCAGGAAACTACCGGAAAAGCCTTAATTCCCTGCAAAGACATGATCAAGCAATTTTCGAAATAGCAACCGTGGCCCAAAAAGTAGTTCCGAGGTTTCCTTTTGGTTTCCATGTAGCACACACACACACACGGGGTAATTCAGAACTCAATCCGAAAAAGCGACACTCCCGTCTTCTCCGCTTGCAGCCGGGAGGTGAAGGCGGCAGAGCAGCGGGAGGTCTTCCATGTGGTGGTGGTTTTACCTCTGCTGCCGGCCCTGGAGGCGCGAAAAAATGTTCCACGGGTTGAGTCTGAAGTGGCTGTGAATCAAAACCAATGGGATCCCATTTTGGGGTGGGTGGTGGGTGCACCCATTTTAGTCTAAATTAGTGGGGATTGGGATGTCCACCTGGGGGTACGGGCTTTTGACCCATACCCAAGTCTCAGCTAGCACCCAAACACTGGGATTGTCTGGATGAAAGCCTGGACGTTTTACGTTGACGCCATGGGTTTTATGAACATGACCAAGGGTTTCCGACGGTTTTCGTGAGATTCACATGGGTGGGTTTTAATGAGAAACACAACTTCAGTCTTGGTCGATTTTAGTCTTCCGCAGGTTTGGTGTTTGGGCAGTCCTCACAGGTTGTGAGACTCGTCTGATTTGATTCCAGTTAAGGACTGTTGTTTGGATTTAGTTCGGGATGGAATTAACCAACCAAATTTCAGCTCAGTGGAACTTCCACACTCCAGATCCTTCTTTTGATTGTGGAACCCGTGTATCATCCAATTCTTCCCCACGGCAACTGGGCGAGGCCTGCGCCTTTGGAAGCGAAAGGTTCGGCTGGAGACGTGGTTTGCCTTGACCCCAATATCCAGTTTTGATCACACACCGACTGCCTGGTTTTTGGGGGAGCGAATGAGCAGGGTCCATGTATTTTCCACAAAGCAACCAGCAATTTTGGGCTACGTGAATCAAGAAGGCGAAATGGACTGCGTGGCATTTTTTCGTCGTGCTGTTGCAGCTGCGGGCATGGGTTTGTCTCTCTGGACACCCTGAAAAGTTGGTTGGTGGATTTCCTTTAAACCACGCCAACAAAAATAGAAGCTTCCAGTAAAAGGGAAAGACCGAGGAGTACATCAACATGATCCCTGACTTGTTCGAACTTGATACGATGGCCAAGCGTTTGACGCTCAATGACTCAAGGAAGGCACAGAGATCTTCCTCCCCCTCTGGGTGAAAGGCCCTGCGCGCTCAGAACATCTGCCAGGCGCCTTTGTGCCAAGCCAACGCGTCGCAGCCCGTTTTCCGCGCCGGGGGTCCCGGTGAGGGGGGAGTTGGGCTCGACTAATCCCCAAACTGGTGGCCTCCCTGTTGATTTTCCTTTGAACCAAGGCCAGGTGACAAGGGAATCTTTATAACACACACACACACCCGAAAGTCATGGCTGGGAAAAGTGTGTTGCCAATTCAGTGTGACTCAACAACAAGTTCGCTCCTTTCGGCCGCAGCAATGGAAGTTCCGATGTGGGGGTTCCCTGAGGGAGCAAAATGGGAAGGGCCCATAGAGTTTTGGGTGTTTGGACTTTGGAAACTCACCAAGAAAAGTTGGAAGCGTCCAATGGGGTTTGCACAGCATTGCCACCGGGTGTCCTTTTTAGGTTATTTTGCACAGAAATAGATGGCACTTGTTTAGATGGGTGTTATTTCATTATGAATGTCACATGTCACTCGTGGAGAAACTCTGACATGGTTTCATTTGTGCGGTTGGCGCTTGAGATACTGTCGACGGTCCCCTGCAGATTCAATTGGAAGTTGCAAACACTTGGATCTACTTTGCGGGTTTCATAAGTTGATTTAGGGAGTAATACCTGGGCACTTGGCGATGTTCGTGAGAAATCTCGCTTGGGGGTTCGTTGATTCCAAAACCCGCGGCTTGGCGCTGGTGAGGTCGACCGGTTTGGGTTTTCAAGGACCAACTTTTGAGACACGCCTGGCTTGTGGCACGTGTCTGCTTAGGTCACCCTTGGTATCTCCAATGGAGCAGGGAGTAAAACCGAATTGGCTCTGTCGACCTTGAGGCTACGCTTTGTAGGGTTGTTTGACCGGGAGAAGGAGACCACTCATTTTGGGGGATCGGGGATCCCCTCTTTTGGAGGCACAACTTGTTACATGCATTCCATGGAACCTGCTCGTGTCCACTCTGGTGTTATCCTTCCCACCACCAACCTGGCTATCCAACCAGAACATAAGACCGCAAGTTAGGGTGATATTTGGCGTGGTTTCCTCACTAGCAAGGCTATATACCCTCCAAAATTGAGACCCATGCTGGGGAGAAGGGAGCCGTTTGGGCTTCAAGAGACCGAAAGCCATGGTGCGGTCTCTAAGAGCGCGCGCCGCAGGCCATTGGGTTTGGCGAAAGGGTACGGAGGATCCCCCAAAACGGGTGGCCTTTTTGTGGAGACGGATGGGCCGTTTGTTTTTGGTTTTCGCATGAGCCTGTGATTTTCAAGCAGTCTGTGGACTCCACAGTTTTTCTCAACACTCAATCAAATGCTGAAAGCAACACGACGTGACGATTCCTTGCCGAATAAGCAATATGAGCGCGAAGTGGGACTTGAGTGCTCCAGCATGAAAGTGGTTTCTCCCAGCAACATTCATGGGCAGGCTCCACATACTCTTGGGCTTGAAACTGGTTGGTGCGGAAAGCCTTTGCCCGCGTGCTCGAAACTACATCGCAAGACCACCCTAGCGCACCAAACGACACATTTGTCTACGTCATGCCCAGCCCAGTTGTTTTGTGTTTAAAACCGTATTTCTGTCTGTTTCCCTGAGTGTGTAGTGTCCTTTTCATCCGATTTTCCAGCTTTGCTCTTGTTAGTTTCTTCTTGATAAAGTGCCATGCTTGATTGTTGCCCTCTTTTGCCTATGAGATATTCCCCCACAGTTGAGAAGCCTCTTCCTAGTCCTTTGCTACATTTTCCACACTTCGAGCCTTTCATTCTTCGACCCATTCCGTGCTCACAAACCGCTCAGGTGGAACATTGGAACAATGAGCAGTGTGATTGTGTTCCCAATTCCTCTGGGACCCGCTTGCCCATAATGTTGACTCAAGATTCACGAACTCCTGGTTTATTTTGAATGGGGCTTTGCCCATTTACAGGGGGCTCCGCTTTTGGTAGGACGACCCCTCTACCAATACCTCACCGGCTATCAAATGATTTGATAAGTGACCTCCTGTGGGCTGTGTCGTGGCCATTTGACAGCAATTGGGGGGGGGGCCAGTAATAATCCCCCAGGTTCCGTCTGCGGCAAGCCGTTTCCATGATTTATGTGCCATCCTGAACTTGATCCGACCCAACACCGCATCATTTGCAATAATTAAGCAGACATGTGATATTACCACACCATGTACCCTTTCATACCCTTGTTTACCTTTTCTTTTTCCGTTTTTGGAGTTTCCTGTAAGGATACGGTCCAAGGGGTTGGTCAACAGCTTGGCGCCCTTTGGTCTAATTCTGAATCCTTGAATCCATACCCAGGGGAGCCATGTCATGGTCGCTGAACGGTCCTTCTTGGCTCCGAATAGTCAAAGGCTCGGAACCGGTATATACTGCACTGCAAAGACACAAACAATCAAAATTTGGCTTGTTCTTTAATCACCAAATTGAGTCATGACCATCGGATGTCTGTGAAGTTCTTTGGCCCCTTTTGAGAGGCGCCCTGCTGCTGCTGGGCGTTGGCTGCGCCTTCCTCCAACCTCCGCGCCCGGCGCCCGAAGCCGCTCCGGCCACCCTGGGTGCGCTGGGGGCGATCGCCGCACCAGCGGCGGCCTGGGCGCAGTTGGAGGCGGGCACAGGGGAAGGATGGGGTTGCGGGGAATCAACAAAACAAACCAAGCCATTATCAGAAGATGAAAACATATGTTTTGGCCTCTCATATTTCCCAGTGATTCCGTTTCCCTGCTCAGTTAGTGGGTAATCACGGAAGCCGCCCCTTAAGCAACTGAGACATGACTTACCTATGCCTTTCGTGGCTTGCCATAGCCTTTGAAACCACCGCCTGGCGCGGGGCGGTCTTTGGCACAGCCTGTGGACCAAAGAAGGCAAGGCTGGTGTATGCAAAACAGACCCCTCCAGATCCCCACCTTCGTTTGGGATGAGACAAAGTTACGATGTCCTAAACACGTGCTTGGAGCCAATTGAATGACCCGTTGGCCCCGAAGGCCGATCTGGGAGCTCTCCTTGGAAACTTTGGATGCCTCCCTTCCAGGAGATCCATTGGAAGGCATCCTCAAAGGATACCAGGCGCCAGTCAAAGAAGCCAGCTTGAATAGCTTCTCGGGATTCCCTTGTAAAGGTGGTTTTCGGATGTATCCTAAGAAGCTGATGTTCTGGGAATTATCCAATTGAAAGATGATCAATCTTCACCTTTTGCGGATTTGAAGGGAGTCCATGTCGGGTACCCTTCCAACCATCAACCACGGAAGCTGACAGTCTTCTTTGAGGGGTCGCCTATCCAAATCCATGGTTGTTGGGAGCGCACACAGTACGGATGCTTGCTTTGTTGTCTACGTTGATTCCCAACACACAAATTCCCCACAATTCAGCAACATCTTCCCAGCAAGCACCGTCCCCAACAAGACACATCCCCAACAAGACACATCCCCAACAAGACACATCCCCAACAAACACATCCCCAACAAACACATCCCCAACAGAACGCAAAACAAACAAACGCCTTCCCAAAAACCTTCCCAACAGAACCTTCAAACAACTTCAAGAAAACTGCCGAAGACCCACCGAAACAGCTATCGTCTTTTCTTACGCTCGTGCGTGACAGGGCTCCGCGATGTTCTTTACAAAGCCGCTTGGCCGGCTTTCTGTGTCGCACGGGCGAGGTGGGTGAACTGGACACTTAGCACCATGACTTTAATCTGAGTATTGTGCTTTTCACCATTTTGCCCCGTCGTTTTGGGCCCCGAATCTCCTCTCCATTTTGTTTTCACAAGTTGTCAGAACGAATTCCTGCCTAAGTTGGGGCGAGCTCACCTGGGGTCAAACATGGGTCCCTGATCGTTTTGATGGGCACTCCCCGGCGTGTAGTACCCTTGCTTGGTGCAGGACCCTAAGAGAATCGTGTTTCAAAAGGGGTTGGAGGGTATGGACCTGCTCACCTTGGATAAGACGACCTCACCCATGATGAAGGTTGCTTGGCGATTCCCTGTTTCAGGTTTGCGAAGCGTAGTCTCGGCCCAAGCACCTCCCAGATGCATGGTTAGGATTCCCGCAAAGCTTGGGGGGCGCCCATGACCCGTCGATGATGACTGAGGCGTGGACATCATGGTTGTGCTGGTTGGTTCCGCATCTGCTGCAAAAGCAGGTCACTCTTGCGGCGGTGATCGGGCTCATTGAGGGCACTTTGCGCAACCGATGGGTACAAGATGTCGGTAGGGGATTCGTACTGCATGTGGGCAGGGGGGTGTCCCCGTGACTGCACGGAAAAAGTCGGAAAAGGCGTGCGAACCGTGACTGCCTGCTTGTCCTATTCCCTATAGCGGACCCATGAGCTCGCGATGGGAAGTGCGGGGCGCCATCGTTATGTTTTTGGAGCCGAAAGGTACAGAGGAAGCCTGCGCATTCCCACTTCCTGAGTCTCTAGCTTCCTGGACGGGTACTTTTACTCCGACTTTGGGCCCAACTCAGTGAGCCGGAGGTACCCGGCCGTGCCGCAAGGCGTCACCAAGTTACGGGGCGATTCTGTGTCCCTGATGTAGATCCTTCACTTCGACATCCCTAGCTTCAGGATCTGGAGCTTTTGCACATCCTTCGACGCCGCCTTGCATCGTGCCTGGGTCAAATCCGGCGCACCGGCAATATGATCTCCTTATGCGTCGCCTTTGCAGCAGTCAACCTCGTGCAGCTCGCGCTTGTGCCTGCTGCACTGCTTGCCGCCTCTGTGCCGTCGCCCCTGTTATGTTTGCATTTACTGTGATGGGGTCCTCTGCAGCCTTTGCACGCAGTACCTTTCGTCATTGGGAGACCAGATACTCCGTGTCGGTGGCCACGTTGGCTCGCCGACTGTGTAGCCTTAAATGTTGACAATGTTGTGTTGCAGCGTTCGGTCGGTGCCTTTTTGACAAGAGTTTGTGGTTGCATGCTGGGCAAACCGGTATCACACATGTGGCGGGATCATCTGGAAATGTAGCCGGTTGCAGCAGTGTGTCGAAACTCATTTAGTTGCCTTCATTGTGTCGGCAAGCTGCCCCGCTGTCATTCTAGCGTCAGCCGTCACCACCACCGTTGTAATATGTTGGTGTGACGCAGGTACTGCTCTCGCGTCAAGCCATCGTGAATGGCCCATACCGATCATATCAGCCCGCTAATTGTGTATGTCCGTGTTAATGATGAAATGGAACGCGGACCAGTTTCCGCCGCGTTTATACTGTTGCTGGCATTTGTGATTGTTCCTTTGCCTTTTCATGTCCTCTGCCGTGCCGTTTTGCCATCCCTAGTGGTTTGTGCCAGCGCGCCTCAATTCGCCAGTCGGGGCTTTGGGAATGAACCACACAGATCCCCTAGACCGAACGGTTCAGTCTGGGGCCAACTTCCCCGCTGAGAGCAAGAAAAAGCCAAGCCCCTCCCGTCGCGCCGACCCAAGGCGCGGGGACATCCTCGCGGAGCGGCTCGGCGGTTCTGCGAGCCAGAGAGTCCGTAGGGGTCATATTGGTCGGGTTGTCGCAAAATCGCGGGATTTGTTGGAAAATGATGCCCCCTTAAGTATGAACTCAAATGAAGCATAGTATTTTTGGGGTTCCGCTGTGGGCTTTCTAGGTCAGTATTGGGGCACTGGGTTTAGGTTGGTTCTCATCATGAACGATCGCTGTTTTCCCAAAAGGACACTTAGGCATGAGGGTGTTTCCTAACTTCGAGGGTTCTCCAAAATGATTGGCTTGCTTTTGATATACAAGCATCTAAAAGTGGCCCACCTTTAAGTTGCAAAATGTGTTGGTTGTCTCTTTTGGCCGAATGTTTTAGCGGTAAAAGGGTCACACCACACACACACACACAGCAAACTCCATTCAAGAGATTTATGGCCCCACTTATAGCGAAAATGAGGCGACAAGCATTGGCCAACCCTTCATGTTGACCTAGCTGCCCTGTGTTTTCTTCCCTGCTTATTGGACTACTGGGCGACCAGACAGTTCTGCAAACTATTTCGAGACAGCTGCCGGCGACTTTGCCCCGCCGAAACTTCCAGGCTCCGGTTTCGCTTTCAAGCCTTTTAAATCCCTTCACCGCAGCAGGTCCCCAAAAGGCCAAACAGGGTCCTGCATGTCTGCCACTGCGCCCACTTGGCCGGATGCAAGCAGCAAGCTCCCGATCCCATTTAGCTGACTTAGCTCAATCCACGCGCGAAGATGCTCAAAGGAGACATGTGGACCCGCAAACCGGCCAATCTTGCAGAAAGGTTCTCAGAAGCCCCCGTTCATTCAGCACCCCAGACACCCAGGTGCCCGGTGTTCTTTGCTTTTCGGAGAGGGTACGCCCCGTGAGAATCTCCTATCAAAAAGATGCCCCTTTCCTTTGACCACGGGTCTTAGGCTCCTTCCCTGGGCTCCCTTGGTTTTATTTCCCAGTTGTTGCACCGTTGAATATCATCAATCGGGTTTTGAGCTGAGGAGCCGGGGGGGGTCCCTGAAGAACCAACCAAGAAAGAGGGTGTCCTTTTTCTCTGTGCGCTGCGCCGAACGCGCAACAAAAAGGCAACCAGTTTTTGTAGCCCTTTAAACTGTTGGGTTTGGACTGGTGTATTGGGATTTGAACCCCTGGAGGGCAAAGTGCAGCAGACTCAGGTCCGAGGTGATTCAGAACGTCCGGGAGAACCCGCCCTTCTTTGCGCAGTGGCCCCCGCTGGTGCAGGCGGCAAAAGACAGCTCGGGATCGTTTGGGAGAAGCTGGCCTGTCCTTCTCTCCCGACGTATTTTTAGGCTTTTTGGGATCTCCTAGCTTTTCCAGCTGGGGAAACAGTTTTGAAAAAAATGGTGAGGGCGCCACTACCGCACTTTGCGGTTTTGTGCGTTCAGGAACAGCAGCAAAATAGGTCGCTACCTCAGGCGGAACGCAAGTTTGCCTTAATCTTAAACGTGGACATGGCACAACCTTCGCGACCGTGTTGTCAGTTTTGATTTCGCTAGCATTTCACCTGGGTGAAAAAAGCGCTGTTCCTGAATGAAAAGGCGCTCCATGTCTTTGAGCTCCCTGTTTTCTGAGGCCCTTTTGGCGTACCGAGCAGTTGAAACAGGCTCCGATTGTATTCTGCACACTGTGGCGTGAGTGCCTCGCTCTCAAGCTATTGCCCCGCGCGATATGCGCGGGGTCGTACCGGTTCCTTAAAGTTACTTTCAGGCATCAAGGAATGTTCTTTCGTTAGATTCCTCTGTCCTTGCGCGGACGTTAGCTTTCCTTTCCCTGAGTTCCTCCAGGGTCACTGGGCTAGGGACCTGGGTGAAGTCAATCCTAAAGCTATCGCAAGCTGATCTCAAATCAGCACAGCGGCTCGTCTAGCCAACTCAATGGGCAACTGCGCCTTCCTTGCTGGTTTCAGAAGGATTCAAGAGGTAATGAACCTGGGGGTTCCCTTTGATCAGAGGAAACGGTTGTCGGGGCCATTCAAACTCAGGTGCCCTATCGAACCAGCAAGTTATATATGGTACAGCGTTGCCAGCCCCCCCCCCCACCAATGGTCATGGGTCAGACAAGTACCCCCCCCCCCTGTGGTTGTGGTCCTGTGGTTGGGTTGTGGTGGCTTAGAGTTGGTTTAGAATTGGTTTATAGGGTATATTTAGGGTGTATTTAGGGTGTGTTTAGGGTTAGTTTAGGGTTGGTTTAGGGTTAGTTTATGTTGATTTACGGTTGGTTTAGGGTTGGTTTAGGTTTACGGTTTAGGGTTTGGTTTAGGGTGTATTTAGGGTTGGTTTGGTTGGTTTAGGGTTAGTTTAGGGTTGGTTTAGGGTTGGCTTAGGTTTAGGGTTTATTGTTTAGGGATTGGTTTAGGGTGCATTTGGGGTTAGTTTAGGGTTGGTGTAGGGTTAGTTTGCGGTTGGTTTAAGTTGATTTAGGGTTGGTTTAGGTTTAGAGGTCTACGGTTTAGGGTTTGGTTTAGGGGGTATTTAGGGTTCGTTTAGGGTTAGTTTAGGGTTGGTTTATGGTTGGTTGCGGGTTGGCGGGTTGGCTTGTCCTGGGTGGGGGTGTCGGGGTGTCGGGGTGTCGGGGTGCGAGGGTCGGGGTGGGGGTGGGACCGTAGGCGACAGGATCCGGGGGCTCGGGGTCTCGGGCCGGGGGGCGGTGGGGGGGGGGGGGTTCCTGGGGGACCGATACCATATGGGGGGGGGGGGGGGGTAGCAACACGGAACACGGACCAATATAAATCTATTATATATATATATATATATGGGAGAAGGAAGCACGACCAAATCGGAACTCCCAATATGGCTTTCCTTTTGGTTTCCCTTCAAACCAAGATGCAGAAGGTACTGCACGAAGGACACACATTATAGATATTCTGATATCTACAAGGACACACACTTACACACTTACACACAACACACTTGCACACTTTCACCTGCACACTTACTCCCGCACACATTTACACGCTT